TGTACTAATTGTACTTAAGCGAGTTTTGACGGGATTTAGTTGGGTAATAAATTAATTATTTTTTGAATAAATTCTGGATTTTATTTTATTTATTTTTATTTTTATTTAATCATCTCCCTTAAATTCTCCATCCAAATTTATTATTATTTTTCCTTTTTAATTTTCACTTTTACCACACACTAACTATTTTCTATTTTTTACATTTCCATGAATTTTTGTGAAATGCACGTGAATTTTATTTTAATTTTACTAAAACTATTTTATTTTTTCTAAATCTTTGATCTTTATTTTTGTTAATTTTGGTGCAAATATTGCGAATTAAAGGCCCTTAATCTTCTCTCGAAATATTTTTTATAACAATATTTTAAATAGGATTATACATAATTTGTTTTTAATTATATATTTTTTTCAAAATGTTACTTTCCAATTAAAAATATTTTTTTCAAAACTTTTTCATGTTTATTTTCGCATTTCGGAAGCAAGACTATTGGAAACAAATTACCAATATTTCCTTAATTTATATTAAATAGTAAATATAATTTAAAATATATTTAATTAAAAACCCTTCATTCTTTTTTATTTATTTCAAAAAAAGTTTTTGATGATTTTAATCATTTTATTGTCATAAACTAGGCGGTAATGATTAAAAGAGAGTCAATCATCAAAAACCTTTTTATTTAAAAATTCCTTTTATTTTTTACCAATAAAGGAGAACACTCATATGTAAATACTTTAAAGAAATATATTTTCTCTCATAAATTCCTCAAAAATAAAAGGGAAATTTTGATAAAATAAAAATATTTTGCGTGACAATTTTTTGCATAAAAAATCTTTCAAAAAATTATTTAAAATAACCAACTATTAAATACATTTATTCTTTAAAAATATTTTTTGGCCATTCTTTTAAAAATATATCCAACACAAAATTCTTCAATCAATTTTAGGCTTTAATATTTATTTTTATTTTTAAAGGTCCCCTTTATTTTAAAAAAGAGAAAACTTTTTAGTAGTCACCTGTTTTCTATATTTTTATTAAACAAAAATATACCTAATTTTATTTTTAAAAAAGCTTTCTTTATCTATTTATTTAATCACACAATCTCTCTTTACGCGCATCAAAAAAAAATTTTTATTTAAATGACAAAAAACTTTTTTTAAATAAATTTTGTATATGTTCCTTTTTTTATTTATTTTTATTTCCCCGCATTAATCGAGGCAATTCTTTTATTTATTTTTTTCCTTTTCTATTCTCGCGCATCTATCAAGAATTGGGCGGAGAAATTAAGATTTTAAGATCGTAAGGAAATAAGGGAAGAATTAAAAAGGGAAAGGTTTACGGGGGGTTTTCCAAAAAAAAGCAGTCAAAATATCAAAATTAAAAAAAAATAATTTCAAATTATTTATAGGAGAATTCTCGTTTACCGTAAATGCTGAAATAATTATCCTCTCAAATAACTATGTATCCTCTCTCAAATAATTACCTCATGTTATTTTATTTAAACTTCAAAAATATTCAAAGAATTACTATCAAATTTAATTATTGGAACATTTTAAGACTCGATATCAAAAAATAAATTAGTTTCTCCTCAATTGGATTGAGATATACCCTAAATCCAGCACATTCTCGCTAATAATTACCCCTTCCAGCGAGAGATTGAAACAATAATTACCCGGGGTAATTATTTCAGCATTTACGGTATACCATTTCTATTACTAATTATCCAAAAAACACTCCAAAGTTTAATATAAAAAATAATTTGTCAATCAAAATTATTGGCCATATAAATAAATAATTTTTTTTTAATATTTAAATTCTTTTCTCAAAAAATTTTTTACACAAAAATCTGTCAATTTTTCTCGCGCATGTGCTTCCCCTTTTTATTTTAAAAAAGTCCCTCCATATTAAAATAATATATAAAAAAGTTTTTTAAACAAACAACACAAAGGCAATCACTCAGAGAATTTTTTAAAATAAAAATTTTTTTTATTTAATGGCCCTCTCCTCTATTCATTCACTTTTCTTTTTTTAATGACAAATTTAAAATATAAAATAACTCTTTTTCTTTTTAATTTTTATTTTTAGACGAGAAATGAAGAAAAAAAGGGAGGTTTTTTGTTGATTTTTAGTCTTTCACTCTTTTTTTTTTAAATAAATCCTTATCTCCAGTATTTAAATATTTTGTTAAAAAATTAGTTTTTTTTTTTGTAAAATTAATATATAAATATTTAAATTAGGTTAGCGACTCGACCCTAACTCTACCCCCCCTTTTTCATGTCGGGGTTTTTGTTTAAAAAAATCCGTCGTGTATCCTAATTTAAATACAAAAATATTTTTTGAAAAAATACTCTATAAATGTAAGTTTAGGCTTTTTTTTAATAATTTAGAAAAATATTTAAAAAAAACGGAAGACGGGAAACCAAAAATACGAAAATTGACGCGGAGTGTATGTAGGTGAGGTGTCGGGAATTAGTTCATCCCCTGTAAATCTTCTAACTCTACCCTCTAATAGTGAAGGGGGTAATCTCGGGTAAAACTTGGATGAAATGATCTTGGAGCAAAGATATACTCGTTAGCTGCGGGTAAACGAGGAAGAGATTTCTTTTTTCTTTACGCAAATTTAATATTTTTTAGGATTTTAGAATTTTAAAATTTAAATTTATAATTTTAAATTTTTTAGAATAATTTAAAAATAATTATTTGAATATTTTTAAAATTTTAACCAATAATTTAAAAAAAATATTTTATTACGTCAAAGAATGCTAAAACAAATATTTCTTTTTTTTTTTCAAACCCCAACATTTTATTTAAATTTCCTTTTATGGATTGCAAAAATATACATTTATGTATATACATTATTGCCGGGTTGTTAAATTAAAAAAAAAATTTTTTTAACTTGAAATGATTGATTATTAGGTACAATATATTAAATGTAAAAACGCCCAAATATTATTAAAATTATAAGGAGATTTTTGATGTTTTGAGGAATTATTTCTTAATTCTTAAATATTTTTTTCTTTTTTTTTTTTAATGCCACTCTTATTAATTAAAAATTTAAAAATTTGGAAGAATGACTAATATATAATAATGACTATAAAAAATATCAAGGAAACAAAGGAAAGTGTGTAGGAAGATGGGAAGGGGAAATAAAAGAAAGGTTTTTCACACTTGATTGAATTTTATAGATTTTTTTATTTTAATTTTTTAAAAAAATTAAAATAAAAGCTATGTAGATATTTCTCTAATATTTGTTGTCCCATTACATAATATTATTTTAGAGGTTCTTTATCTTTGTAACGCGCGACTTGAAGGACGATATTTTTAAATGTTCTTTTTTTATTTTTTTTTCTCATCATTATGTATTATTTTTATTTTAATATTTATTTTTTCTTTTTATTTTTTCCTCTCTTCTACCTCCCTACCTACCTACATATTTACTTCAAATCACTCTCAACCTCTCGCGCATTCTTATTTTTAGATTTTTCTTTTAAAAATATTTTTTTGTTTTTGTTTTTCTTGGTATTTGTTTGTTTGTTTTGCAATCTTTAAATTGAATGTGCGAAAAGAGGGCGAAGGGAAAATTGGCTTTTCTTTCTCTTAAAGCTTTTTCTACATAAAAATATTTTAAAAATATTATATAAAATTATTTTTTAATTTTAAAATTAAATTTAAATTGCAAAAAAGTTTTTTTAATTTCTAAATACATAATTTAATTTCTACTTCATTTTGTCATTAATTACGTATATACATAAATGTATATGTTTATACAAATAATTGCAAAACTAAAATAGCATCAACAATACTTGCCAGATTTAATAAAAAATAATTCTCTCTCTCTTTCTCTCTCCATCTGTTCAAATAATTAATAATTATTCTCTCTCAATTATTTATAAGCCCCTAAATATTAAATAAATTTATTTTATTTTCGATTAAAAATCATTTTATATTAAATATTTCTTTTCTTTTTTTTTAATTTTATTAATTTAAAAATTTTTAATTTTTTTAAATCATTCCTTTTAAAATTAATTTTAATACCCTTAAAAAGCTGACGGAAGAATTTATTTTATTTTTGCTTTTGTTTTGATTCATTTATTAGGGGGGGGGGGGATTTCTTCATTCCATTAGGCAATCAATTTCCTTAAGAAAAAGAAAATTAATCTTTCTTTTTCTGACCTTTCTTAACTCATTCAATTTTTGTTTTTAACTTTTCCTTGCTTAAATACCTTTCAATAATTCCCTACTACTAAATTTCCCCTATTTATTTATTACAACAAAAAATTACTTTTGCATTTATTGCCCGACTAAAAAAAGGATTATTTTTTACATAAATTAAGAGGAGCATTTTATTCTGTGTACATTACTGAATGCAAAAATTTTGCTAGAAATTAACATTGAATAATTGATTTGTTTTTGGGAATTTAATGGGTTTTTTGTAAATTTTCCTGAATCACTTGTAAATATTTTCGGAATTATCGCAATTCTGTGTAATTCAGTTTGCCTGAATTTAAATATAATATTTCCCCTATCTTTTTGTATTCTGGCATTCTGTTGTTTTTGTATTTTGGCGTTTTGTTATTTTCTGTTAAATTCTAAATTTAAATCTTGAGTTAGAAAGCTTCAGTTTTAGAAATTACGTAAACAAGTATTGAATTTATTTTTTATGTATCTTCTTTGATTTTTTTAATGCATTCCTTTAGATCGATACTAAAAAATTTCTTTTTCTTTGAAAACCCCGACGTTTTTATTTAATTAATTTTGCTTTCAATGAAAGTATTTATTTTTGTTTATTTGTTTTTATTTTTAAAATAAGATTAGGAAATGTGTTTTCCTTTTAATTTTGAAAAATAATATAATAATTTTTTAATTTAGCAACTGCCTAAAATAATTTAAATTGCAACTATTGCGAATATATTTATTCACGCAACATTCCATATTTAAAAAAACTACTAAAAAACGACCAATTTATTTACTATTTGTGTCTTATAAAAAATAAACAACAAAAATGTTTGACTACGACCGCCTCTCTTTGAATGTTGCGCAACAATTCTCGTCTCCCAAAACAAAAAATGGCAGTGACAACGATAAATCTGTGTCTGCACATTTTGGGGATGATGGAATTTTAAGTAATGGAAGTAGCGAATCTCAAATATTTGGAAATGGTTGGGATAACAGTCCATCTCCTTTTGAGGGAGAGGGGGAAACTGAGGAAAATAGGTAAATTTGGAATGTTTTTTGAAGAAATCAGAGCTTCTTTCAGCATTGTTCATAGCCTTTCCGAATTACTTCGTCGTCGCTCATCTCCGTGTACAAACACTGGAAATTGCTGTTTTGAACGCGAACATCGAATGTCTGCTGATGAATTTGGAAGTGGATGTATTGGGGCAGCTCAACATTTACAGCGTCATCGTTCAGCTACAGTTAGCAGCACTGACCAAGTTTATGGACTTTCGACACCAAATCGTAATGTTGCGCATCATCAACGGGAACGACGTCCTATGGATTTTGGCGGTTATGGAATGGATCGATTTGCGGCAATGGTTGGAATTTTTTAAATTTAATTTTGGGGGTTTGCTTGTCTTTTTCGGACTCTTCATTCTTGTTCATTAATTCTCCTTTTGCATTAACCTTTTATTTAATTTTTCCCTTTTTAGAATCGCCGCCTCAGCGATGACTCGGCAATGGTTGGCGGTGCAGGTGGTTGTTGCCTCACTTCGTCTGAAATGCTTTATGATTGCGGTGCCAGTTCTGGTTATGGAAGTCCTGGCCGAACGCCTCTGGCAAGTCCAAGTGCTGCAACTAAAGGGGCAAATTCTCATGCTGTTCAATATATTGCAAATCAACTTCAAAAGTTATTTGTTGACCGCGCGTGTTTTTGTGAATGCCCTGCACATAATGGTAAAAAATTTTCGTCTTCGATTATTTACAATCAGACAAAAAAAATTTTTTTATAGGAAATGGAGCAATCTATACTCATCGTCAAACCTGTCCAGAACAGCGAAAACAGCAACACATTTACCTCAACGGAAATGGAAATTGTGTTTCAAATGGAAAATCTTTCGGAGTTCAAGCTGTTGCCTTCTCTCCAGCAACAGCCCCAGTACTTTTGAAAGCAACGACAACAACTACAGGGACTAACAAAAACAGCAATAAACGCAAATTAAGCAGCGTTTGCGGTGGTAGTGGAGGAAGTACAAGTCCAGGACCGGAAAATATTGTTGCTTGTGAGTTTAATTAAATAGAAAAATTATTTTGTAAAAATAATTTTTTAGCTGAGGATGGCTTTGATCAAGTTGAAATTGCTGAATTTACTCAGTTACTTAGCAGTCCTAAACGAATGCCGCCTCCTCGCTATATCTGTCACATTTGTTACCAACCTGGACATTATATTGGGGATTGTCCTCAGGTAGAATTTTGCACTTTTTAGGGCATTTCTTAATTTTTATTTATTTTTTAGCGTTTCAACAGTCCATATGAAGAGCTCACCCCTTACCAGGGTCGTAAGAAATGTTATGGTGAATTCCAATGCGAACAGGTATTTTTACATTTTTAAATTTGTTTGAGTATTTTTTAAATATTTTTTAGTGCAAGCGCAAATGGACTTCGCAAAATTCAATTGCAAATGAAGCGCAGAGTTGTATCAAATGTCATGTTCCAGTATTTCCACATAAACAGGTAATTTATAAATTTTTAAATTAAATTTTTGATATTTTTTAGCTTCCCGTTGACAAAGCAATCGCTCTTGGCCTTGTTAAAATTCAACGTCTTCCGGTGACTAATGTTTTGGCTACTCCGCCAACTCCGAGTGCAGCTTCTACTCCTCTTCCGTCAAATCATGGTGTTCTTACTGCAGTGCTTTAAATTTTGGATATTTGGAAAAATTGGTAAAAAATTTAATTTAAAAATGTTAGAGGGAATGAGGAGATTATAACATTAGCCAAAAGCGAAAAAAATTCTTTTCTGGTTTTAGGCTATGACAAACATTAATTTTTTGATTAATTAAAATTTCTTTTTAGATGGTATGAGAGAAAAGTTTTTTTGGTTTCATCGTTTGATTGATTGCACTTCATCTAATTTATTTTACTTCCATCGCCTTCATGTTCACAACAAAAAAATGACACAAATTCTCACTATCTTTGGATCTATTGACTGATCTTGTATGGTGTTGCATTGCTTTCACAATAATTTCGTATATATTTATGTACTTTACATGTTGTTCACTTTCTAAGTTTTATAAAAAAAATAAAAAAAGGGTTTGGCTATAAAGAATTTTGACATCTTCTAGAAAATTCTTGGAAAGCCAAACCTTTTTTATTTTTTGATATTTTTCGGATATCTATTGGGGCTTTGATCGTTTGAGTTTTTCTAAAATAATTTTAAATGATTTACTGTTGCAAAATTGGATTACGATTTAAAGTTTATTTCGATTTTTTAAATTAAATGTTAAATGAAATTAAATTTCCATCTACTCAAACGATTACTTTCTCTCAATTTCCTTTTTATATATACAAGTTGTGAATTGTACAATTTTTCCATTTACTATTCGCGTAGCGCATGTTTCTTTTTTGGATTTTTGATATCGCCTCATATATAAAATTTAATTATATTTCCTTAATATTATTTAGATTTTATTTATTTTTAATTCAGGGTTGCTTAAAGAAATTGGGAAAAAAAGGGGGGAGGGTGGTTGGATGTGGATAAATTTAAAAGAATTTTTGGGGGTTTTTGGTATTTCTATTTGCAACCCTGTTTGTGTGTCTGTTCTTCAATTTTATGACAAAAATTTTATAAATATTCTATATATTTTTCTCTTCTACCCCCGCATATAAAAATATTAAGAACGAACTCATTTCTATTATATATAAATATTATTATGTATTTAATTTATCACTTTACGTAAAAATTGTGTATTTTTAATGTTGTTTTTAAGTAATTTTATTATTAAAAAGGTAAATTTATGTATATTTTAATTTCGGATTTTTTTAAAATTTTTGGGCAACAAATTTTTGGTAAAAATTTTAAATGGTTTTTAAATTGTTTTCTAAACTGATAGTATTTAAAAAAATATAATTTTTGGATTTAAATTTTAAATTTATTAGAAAAATTTTAATTCGAAGCTTTATTTCAAGAGTTTTACTAATATTCTAGTAACTTTATTATATGAAAACAATTTTGACTTTGATTAAGTAAAGAATTTTAAAAGACATATTTTTTATCAATTTTATTCTTGAATTTGTCAGAAAAATTTATTAGTACATGGTTATTTATTTTACATTAATTTTTTAACTAACTAAACTTCAAATTTTTGTAAAACTCTAGATTTGTATATAATTTACTTATGTTAAATCAGTCGTTTAAAATACCCTGTGCGTCAAATATATACATCATTATTAAGAGGATTTTTGATAGCTTTGGAGATGAGAAAAAAACATCAAGAAAAATATTCAAAATTTAAATCTTTTTTAAAGATATCATCAAAATAATTTTTGTTTTGAAAGCTTTGTTGGGGATATAATTTTGTAGAAATGATGAGAAAATGATATCAAAATATATCTAAAGGATTATTTAGATATTTAATAATTTTTTAAAAATAAATAGTGAAAATAAAAAAAATATTTGGTGATTATTTACTTAAAGGAATGGCGAATAAATTTATTTCCTTTATTTCTAATTAATCAGAAATTAAAAAGTTCACTTAATTAAAATACAAACATTGCTTTCATAAAAATATTTTGGTTGCGTGACTTTTTCTTTTAGACAAACTGAATATAAACATTTTATTAAAACAAAATTGTAATTATATTTAATTTTACACATTATTTATTTAAATTAATTTGTTTAAACAATTATTTTAATTATTTTTTAAATATATTCTCATAATTATTTAATGATTAGTAAAATATATCCGGCGATTATTTTTTAATTAATTTAATTTAAATATTTTTTTTAAATTAATTCTACTGCTAAATATGTACTATATATTTTTTTTTATTTTTTTTTGTTTGTAAAAATTGTATAATTTTAAATAAATAAAAATTAAAAATATGTATTTATATTTGTTTTTCTTTTTATTTTAGTTTTGTTTTGAACAAAACTCCCTTTAAAAACTCCACTTGGAATATGGTGCTTTGTGACAACGAAATTTAGTTTAAGAATTTTGGTTATCGAAATATCGGCCTCTAAATCCATCCTCGATTCTAGTTTTTAGTCTTTGGTTTATTTTTATTGTTGTCTTGTTTTTAAATGTGATTTTGTTGCGTGGCGGTCGGAAACACTGGAAATCAAAACTGAAGAGATTTATTTAAATTAAAAAAAAATTTTTTATTAAAAGGGACAAGAATGAAAAAGTGTTTTTATAAATGTGTTTATTTAAAAATAATTGCTTTTAAAGGTTTTTTTTTATCTAGATGTATCTAATTAATTTTACTTGAATCTTTTAAATGTTAAGAAATACGTAAATATATCTCTTAAACAAAATTTAAAATTTTCTTATTTTTTTGTCACACGTTTTTCTTATTTTTAGCATTTTCTTTTTTTTCTACATATAAAAAATATGTATTATTTTCTCATTGCTGGGAAGTAACCTGATCTTAGAATGGATGTTTAAAAATACTCAAAATTTGAAATAAAATTGATATTTAATTTTTTCTTCACATTTGTCCAAAAATAAATATTAAAAATTAAATAAACTTGGAAATCTCTTTCTAATTTAAAATGTTTTTAATCATGACAGTATTTACTGTTAATTGTTTAACTCTTAAACTAGTATCAAAAATTTAATTCCCTGTTTAGTTTATTTTTTGGCACTATCATAGATATCCGTGTGTCGCCTTTCGCGTTTTGGGTGTCGTTTTTAAATTTAATTTCGCCTTTTGTGTTTCGCGTTTCGCTTTTTAAAATCTGTTTCGGCACACCCCTGATATGTATATTTAAATATTAAATAGTCACTATATTTTTATATACTTTTGTTTTAAAATATGGCTTTCTTTTATAATAAAATATATTTTAATTTTTAATTTTCCATTTTGCTCTACATATTACATGATTTAATAAGCTACATAATTAAATAACTAACAATAAGACACCCCTTCATTAGTTACTTCCTGTACTTTTAGAAAAACTATAAAATTTTATTTTTTAATTAATTAATTTATTTAAAATTTAAAATATATTTTCTTTATTTTATTTTTATTTTAAATTTGCTCGAAAAGAAAAAAAAGAGTAACAGGAAGTATTGAAATGTTATAAGGGATTTTGAGATAAAGAAGCTTATTATTGTTAGGGTATTTGTCTACATAATTTTGCATTTATCTAAGTTGTAGTAAAAAAGAGAAGAAAAGGAAAAAAGGAATTCTTTTGCCAAGACAGGAAATTCTTTTAAAAATAAAAGAGGAGAAAATTGAGACAAAATATTCTTAATTTTTTTTTGTTAATTTTTCTAAAATTTTTTTAAAAGTACTTTTTTGTTTAATTAATTTGGAATGGGTATTTTTATATTAATTTAGTAATTGGAATCTAAATAATTATTTTTTAGTTTAATACAAAAATACGAAATAATTGTTTTTCATTTTCTTTAAAAGTTTAAAGTTTTCCTTGACATAAATAGAGAGTTATGTGAGTAATTTTCTGGTTATTAGAATTTAATTCCTTTATTTTTTTTTATATTTTTCATAAAAATTCACAAAAAATTCACAATAATTATTTTACTATTTTGGAATTATTTTTTGTTATTTTTGGCAATTTTATAAATATCTAAAAATAAATAAATTATTTTACTTAATAAAATATTTATTTACATATTTGCTCTATATTTATACTAAAAAATATTTAAATATTTAAATAAATGTTGTGAAGTTTATAATATTTTTAAAAGTTTTTTGGCTTTTAATTCGGATGGCCATTAAAAGTTTCCATTAAAAATTTATTACAACATTTTTTAGGATTTTTGTTAGTAATTTGTTTTTTTTTATTGAAGATTACCTTAAATTTTTTTAATTTAATATTTCTAAAATTTAACATTTTCTATAATAAATAAAAAATATTTTTTATTCAATACAGACAATATTTCTGATAATATTTTTGATAGAAAAATATTTTAGTTTATAACTGGCGAGAATTAAATTTTTAAAATTGTAAAATATCAAAAAAACATTAAATATTTAAAAGCTTTTAATTATTTTATAAAAAATATTTTTCCTATTTTCCCATTAAAAACACTAAAAACATCTTTATATTTTATTCCAAAACAAACTACCTACCTTTAAGTCCTTTTCTACATTAGCCCTTTAAAAGCAAAATATCCTCCCCTCTCCACACACCTTTTTAACTAAAGAAATATTTTTTTTGTCTGACATTTGAGAAGACTTTTAGAAAAATATATTTTAAGGATTAAATAAATAAATAATATATTTAAAGTAGAGTTGCGCGAGATCGAGATTTTAGAATAAATCCGAGACCGAGATTGACCGAGACTTGCATAACCGAGACCGAGACCGAGATGCAAAATTTGACCCGAGACCGATATCGAGATTCGAGATAAACCGAGATTTTTCAAAACTTTTTTTATTGACCAAAACCCATCCAAATTAATTAAACATCATCTAAATCATCATCAAAATCATCTGTTTCATCAGAATCAATTTCAGTTTGTGGACCAATCAACAGTTTATCCATATTTGCCTTTACAACTAGAATTTTTTCCAACATTTCTCCAGAAAGACTTAAGTATAAAAATTTAAGTAAATATATATACCGATTAAATATACCGATTCCTAAGTGCATTACCAAAAAATAACCCAGCCTTGCTAAATAAACATTCCTAGCTTACTAACGAGGCAGAGATGGATGGACCATCCGAATCAACAGAAATTGTTGATACATTTCTTGGTGATTTTGGCTTCCAAATACATATCATCTGAAAATCAAAAATTTTATTTAAAATTTATTTTTTTGATATACATCTTGTAACAATGTCGTCACTTTTATCTGACAAGGAATCAATTTCATCCAATGACGGTGTAACATAATTATCCTTCTGCGTTTTTATTTTTAAATTTTCTTAAATAAAATTATACATAAAAAATATGTTGTGAAAATTAAACCTTTTTTGATAAATTCAATTAAATCTTCTTCAATAAATCCCCAATGAGCCTTGGAAAATATTCGTTTCATCATAAGAAATGCGTGGATCAAGCAGAGTATTTATCCTTCGCAGTTTATTTCCGACTAACTTTTCGACCCTTGTATCCATAGAATCAATTAAACATTTAACAAAATTATCCAAAATTGAAGGAATTTTATTATATTTTTAGAAAGTCCCTTATTCGCCTAAATGTAGGCAAAACTGTAAAAATAAATCTCAAGAAGGTCAATCTTTAGGGGTGTATACTGATCTCGGATCTCGGCGAGATTAACTACCGAGAATCTCGTCTCGGTTAGGTTGTCTCGTCTCGGCAAAACCGAGACCGAGATTGGAAAATGACCGAGATTCTCGTCTCGGTCTCGGTCGAGATATCGATCTCGCGCAACTCTAATTTAAAGTAGTTTTTGTGTTTTTTTTCAAATATTTTTTATTATTTTTGTTCCTTGTTTTTCTTAATTTTATTTTTTAAAAATTTTTTTCCCGAAATTTCCGCCATCCTTCCTTTTAACGCAAATTAACTCTTTTTTGCCCATCCTCACTTTCAATTTGCCATCAATTCCGTTTACATAAATACATATTTTATTTCTTATGTTTTTAGCTTCTTTAATAAAAATAAATATCCTTATATCCCCCTCCTCCTTTCCCCTCATTCCCTCCTCCATTCCTTCCTTTCCTCTCTCCCCACATTTCTCGTCTTGACATTTTACTTTTATCTTCAAAAAAAGAGAGAAAAGGGGAGAATAAGATGTCTATGGCATGAGGACAGGCAATCGTTAATTGAATTCAGCTTTTCTTTCATTTCCCCTTTTAACTAAAAAAGAAAGAAAACCCCCTCCTTTCCTCAGGCAAAGCCAAAAGGCAGCCTGTCAGAATTGTGCCAGCCTGTGGAGTAGCAACTCATCAAAGTGCCTTTTGACAATTTTGTGTAGTATTTAGGCAAAATTTTTGCGGACTAAGATTAAAAATAGTCCCGAAAGTGCATGGAGTATCTGTGTACTTTTAACCATGAACTAATTCAACAAAAACTTTTATTTTTTTTATTAATTTTAATATTTACTTTTGAACTTGATATTGACTTAGAAATTTGGATATCATTGACATTGAAGATATTTTTGTTAGAATTTGGAGTTATTTAATTTTAATCCTTCTTGGACATTGAATTAAAACAAATAGTTTACAAGTGATTAATCAGATTCATTTAAATCAAAATTAATTTTTTAAAGTCAAAACTAACTACAAAATATTCTTTTGTTGCTTTCATATTTTTTTAACTTAAATAATTATTTAATTCTGAAAATTTTTCTTTAATTTTTGCTTATAATCATTTTTTGCCCGGCAGTCTACTAACTATAATTTAACGATAATTACATAGTGAAAAGTAAAGTACATATGTAAAAGTTTCTTTATTTTAGAAAATATATAATTATAACTCTTCTTTTTTATTTTTATTTTAATTAATCTCCACAAATTTGGTAACATCCATAAGCTTTTCTTTTTGATTATATTTTTATTTTTTAAATATAATGCCCTATAATTTAACCAAATACTAATTTCGCCTACTTCACAATTCTTGCTTGCTTCTAAAATAAGGCCTGAATAAATAAATAATAAATAAACAGCCAAGCCAAATGCATTTAATGTCTTACTTTTCTTGACAAAATAATTTATTTTTCTTTTAAAATAAAAATAAATACCTTAGCTCCTTTTATAAAATAAACTTTTAATATTTTATTTATTTAACTAATTAATTTATTTAAAATAATTTTATGATTTTTAAAATTAAAATTGTCCTATTAAAATTCAAAATAAATAAAGCAGATTTACTTTATTGTCATCAGATAATAAATTTAAAATATTTTATTTAATCTTTAAAAATTTTTCAATCTTTTTAATCATCTATTTTTTTCTAATTAATAAAATTAAAAAAAAACTATTCAAGTGTTTCTTCTAAATAATACGTAACATTTTATGTATAAAAAAATATCAATTATTTAGCTCCCCTCTAATTTCAAGATTTTTAAAATTAAATAATTAATCTAAAATATTATTTTTGAACTCCCTCAATCATTCAATTTACTTTCCTATTTATTAAAAATCACAATTTTTATAAATAAATTACTATATGATTAGATTAGTAATTTTTAATGTTTTTATCCGAGAAAAATAAAATTTTAAAAAGTTTTAAACTATTTATCAAAAACTTAAAAATTTTTTTATTAAAATACGTCAAAGGAGGATTAATTTTTGGAATTTAAATTGAAAATACAAGAAATTAAACAAATAGTTTTGGATTAATTATGTCTAGTCACTGGGTTATTTATTTATATTCGGAATAGAAAAAGTAGAAAAAGAATTAAAATATTTTATCTCTTTTAAACTTTATTTTCAGAATTTCTACTTTTTTGTTTTAATCTTGGCATTTCTAATGCCTAATTTTCGAGTTCCGATAACCTTGGTATTTCTAATTGACTTTAAATAACAAAAAATTGTCGATAAAAAATTAAATAATAATTATTTATTTATTAGATTTTTTTATAATTTTCAGTCAATCCATCTTTCTAAAACTTATATAAAAAATAATTTATTTACACAAACTGTCATTATTAATATTTTTTTGTATTTTTTTGTTATTTATTAATGTCACACAATTCTCCATTAATTTTAAAATAAATTTATTTTCCTTTAAATGCCATTTAAAGTAAACAAAGAAATTAAAGAAAACTTTAAAAAAATCCAGAGATCTTCCCTAACAAACTTACTAATTTTATTTAATAAATTTTGAAGAGAAGAAAAAAGTTTTAAATTATACTATTTTAGTTTATCTTTTAAAAAATTGTCTGTATTTGCATACCAAAAAAATTAATCCTTTATACATATAAAATCTAAAAGCGAATCCTATCACAAAATTAAAATATATAGTCTTTAAATAATTATTTAAATATTTTTTATTAAAATTTAATTTTTAAAAGTTAATTAAATTTATTTAATTTCTTTTATTAAATTTGAACTTTCAATTAAATATTTGTGGACAATAATATTATATCGTAATTCATTTAATAAAAGGAAATTGAAATAATTTTTTAGTTTAATTAAATTACATATTTGTTTGCTTTTTAAAAAGAAAATATTTATCGTTATTTGGTTGTCTAATGAATTTGTCATGTTTAACTTATCTTTTAATATACATAATTAAACATCCAAAAATAAAATACTAAATAATTTCCTAAATAAGGGTATAATTAATTATTCAATTAATTAATTAAACAATAAAAATATTTAAATATTTTATCTATTTTTTTGAAATTAATTCTCACACAAAATTTAAAAAGATAAGAACTACACGCCATCCTTCACAAGTCTCTCAACTACTTATTTAAATGCTTATCTTTTTTTTCAAGATTACCAAATACGTACTTTCTCTTCTTCAATCTTTTATATATATAATTATTTAAAATAAATATATACAAAGTATTGCGCATTTCTACTTTTTTTTTAAATTTTAAAATAAACATAAAATTATTTATTTGTTTCAATTTTTTATTTGAAACAAAATTTGAGATTTTAAAAACTCTTAAAATTATTCTTAATTAATTTAAATATTCAAAAATATTTTTAAAAATTTAACAGATTTTTTGTGCTTTCTATTTCATACACAAAAATTATTTAGGTAATTTAATCAAGTCAGATTTATTTTTTTAATTTTTATTAAATTTATTTATATTTTTAATAACAATTAAATAAAAATTATTTAGCATTTAATCACTTATACATACATTAACTTTAACAAAAAAAATTTTTCAGCATTATTTTATATTCATCATTCTATAAAAATATTATCAAATATTATAAACTAATAAATAAATAAATAATTTTATTTTATTAAAATGTCTACAACATCAATAAATACAAGTTTAACAAATATTAATTTATTTCCTCCCACATCTTTATCTTGTGATGAAGCTAAACAAAATCAAAAACAACCACAACAACACCAAAATAATCATAATCTTTTAACAACAAAACAAAATTCTCATTCTTCTATTAAAATAATTCCAAGTCCTTTAGTAAATACCAGACCTCCTTTACCGTTAGTGTCGGGGAAGACAACAATTCGATTAGTACATGAAAGACTTCGGAGGCAATCTTATGATGTACGTGTACTTAATCCACCTCTAAATTCTGAGGGAAATAGCATTATAACGGTAATTAATTAGCAAATATTTTTTATTTTTCATTAATCCTTCAATATGTCCTTCACTTCTTATCTATTAAGCATTGCCCACTCCGCCCTCAACGAACATCCTCAGCTCGATTAAATCCATCATTTACTTCTCCGTCTTTGGCAGGCTCCTCTCATTATTCAATTGGCTCTTTAGTAGCTAAACGAAGACAGTCTAGGCCGATAAGCTATGGATATGCTTCTGCTGGATTTTATATTAGGAGAGGGCCGAATGATGAAGAATGGCTAGAAGAATTTGATTTTGATGTTTGTGTCGATGATAATGATGAAGATGAGGAAAGGAGACCATCTACATCCCATTCAGTTGATGCTGAAGGAGATGAAGGTAAATAAAAGATTAATTTATGTTCACAACCATGTGGATAAAATGTCGATTTACCTAAAAAAATCTAAAAAAATTTCATTAATTTATTTAAAGAATGTCTTTCAAATACGCCTACTCAACAACGTTATATTAACGAAGATGAAACGGATAAAAACAATTTAAAATTAGATAACAATTTAATGAATGGTGGAAATAAATTAAATAACAACAACAATATTAATAGTGCATTATCTCAATTGTCATCATCTTCTTTATTAAATCCATCTTCCTTACCTTTACAGAATGGAGTAGAGGAAAGAAATATTATTTTATTATCTCCTTCTTCACAGTCCTCTTCCCCTTTTCCCTCAACATCTCCAACACCTTATAGAGGGAAACAAAACGGAAATTCTAATGGAGGAATATATACTCGAAAACATAATAATGGTATTAATAATCAACCAATGGCACTATTTTTGCTTCGACAGCCCGATCAAAGAATTTTGCCTGTTTATTGTTATAGACCACAAGGAGCACAGGCAAGAGAATAACACCTTATTTACCCAAATAATTACCTTGGATAATACTACTGTTTTAATCTCTCATTAGAGGGGGTAATTATTTGAAAGTAAAGTAAATCGGTATTGAATAATAAATTATGGTAATTTAGGCTGACCAATTTATTCAATCTCTGAGTGAGAAATGTCGTGAATCTATAAGAAAATTTTTGGAAAAAGAATCTCCAGATGACGGAGAATGTTATTTATGGGTACGTGATGATGTTAATATGAAGGTAGGAATTGAATTAATAATTATTTAAAGAGCTTAAGGGGAATTAAATTTTACATTTGAGTTTTAATATAATATCCAGAGTATATTTAGCACCATTCCTACCATCCAGTTCTTTTGGGGGATACTAGTGTTGCGCCGGAAGTTCCGGATCCGTATCTGGCCAAATTTGTGGTTCTGGCATAATACTACTCAGTAACATCCTTATTTTTAGCCCCGTAATACGAGTTCGAATTTTTGCATGTCTTCCCAAATCCTAGTTACAGGAAGTGTCACTTAAGCATAATTCAGTTATCAATACCAACAATTAATTATTCTTTTTTTATTTAGACAAATATATTATCGCTAACTTTCCTTCAAAATCACTTTAAAAGTGAACACATTCGTCGTGTTAAATGGCGGCATTTATCAGTTGATAAAGTATCAATTTATCGTTATTCATTGCCTGTTATTACAACAAAATTTCGTTTACGTTTTGCACATTTTCTTTCACGGCATTATAGATGGTTGGTTTTTTAAAATTAAATTTTTAAAAAATAAAATTTTTTTAAAGTTGCATTTTGGGTGTTTGGTGTATGGTTATTTTGTGTATATCTGTTGGAATAGTTCTTTCTGTTGTTTTTGGTTCTGTTCCAAATTCACAAAAATCAAATGGGACATCAATTATTCCAATTCAACCAGTCATTCAACGAAGCGGAGGGTAAAAGAAATTTTTTGGGGAAAAAATTATTTATAAAATTTATTAAAGATTTATGGAAGATGCAATAGAAATGGAACAACAACAAGCTGTGGAAATTAGAAATTCGGATACTGGACAATTAATTCCACAATTTGTTGGATCACACAGAGCACAACCGCCTGGAGTGCCTCGAGGGATTATTAACATTAATGGAAAAAATGTAGATAGGGAATTTCAATGGTTAGATGATAGAAAGAAAAGAAGGAGAAAATAATTAACCTTAGAAAATTTAAATTTAAAAAATAATAAATTTTTTAATGTTCATTTTCAAATTTATATATAATAAATTTTCAAAAATTACCAAGGATATAATAAATTTAACAAGTATTTACACTTAAGTTTTGATTTCGTAATTTCCTCAAATAATTTTTTAAGCTTTTTTTCCTTTTATCATATTGATGGATCTCTTTAAATTTTATTGAAAATTATTTATAATTAATATTTATAATTAATGGATACAAATGCAAAAATCACATATTATGTAGGAAATCACAAGGCATTTAGTGCAAATCTCCTGACCCGATTCCTACTATCTTCCTGACAGTTAAATTATAAGATGAAGACTCAGTCAGCTCTTCATAAATTATTTATGTGAATATCAGAGATCGATCGGAATTTCGTTTTCCGTCACCTTCGACATTTCCGATCGACCTCTGGTGAATATTTATTAGATTAATTTACTATAAAAACCTAATTAAAACTTTAAATTTTAATCTCCTCTAATTATTATTCAAGTAAGTTTCATTGTTTTAATTAAACTTCTTTTTCCGTTTTAGATCATTGTCAACTCCCTCTTCATAACAACACAAAAGGATTATGAAACTGAAAACATTTGTTTCATTCCTTCTCTTGTTTGGCGCCTTCAGCGGGACTTTTCTTTTTGTTACAACTCAACAGGAAGACTATAATGATGTTGCGAATAAGTAAATTATTCTCTCAACTTTTTTCAAAATTAATTTTTATTTTTCTAAAAGTATTTGGGATTTTAATGAAGTTCCTGAAGAAGCTCCTCAAATTGAACAAAATCAAGACGATTCAAATAACGATAACAATAAGGAGACAGAAACACCATCTTCTGTTGCTACCAATTCTGATTCAACAGCAATTACTTCAACAACGTCCACGGGGAATTTAACAACACAGGAAATGACAAACACTACAAAGAATGTCTCAGAGACTACAACTACAACAAAGGCAACCACAATGACAAAGAATGGGACTTCAACAACTTCGGCCGCAATTAATGAAACGGGGACCACGGTAAAGCTGGTTTTTGATAAAATATTAAAAATGGTTTTGGTCCTCCTTTTAGTCCTCTCCTCCTCATTTGGTCCTCCTTTTTTCCTCCTCCTCCACTTTTGGTATAAGCCTAATTGAGAATGATAAATTAGGAATCAGAAATGTTGATTAGAAAGATTTTTTATTTTATATTTTCCTTTATCATTATCAAATATCAAAAAGGGTTTTAATTTAATAATTCCTTTTCAGAAACAGGAAGGTACTGTACTAAATGAAAATCCAGATAAAGGTGAAATGGATCCAACGACAAAAATGATCATTATTAGCGGCAGTGTTGTGGGAGTAATTGTTCTTGTCTTAGTTTTGTGGTTGTGTTATTGTTGTGGATTATGTTCTTGTATTTGTCGTCTTTTCTCTAAAGTGACTAAAAAACGGGTCAAACAACAACAATTTGATATTGTTGATTATGATCCAAAATATCCGTTTTTTAAACCAAGAAACTTCAAAGGAAAAGGAGCGATAATAATTCAAAAACAGATGAAGGTAGTTTATTTGTAAGGAATTTTTAATAAATTTTTTATTAAAGATTCCAGAAACTCCAACGGATAATCAAGTATTGCCTGCAGATCTTAATAATGTTAGAATTAACTACACCAGGAAATTGTGTGCTGTTTATGAAGTTGGCAGTGAAATTGTTGGTGTTTATTTTAATTGTTAAATTGAGGGGGGGGGGGGGTTTGGGGAAAATAAGGGGAAATTTTGGAAAAAATTAATTTTAATTTTAAAGGAATATGTTGTTGATGAATTCGAAAGGCCAGTTAAAGACAGTCCTCGTACCAAGTGGTTCAAAACATACGAAGCAAAAATTAAAAGGGGGGAATATGAAAGTGATTTAAATGATTCGGCAGCTACAACAGACAGGTATTTACTGTTTGTTTTTGTTTTAAAAAATTTGTTTATCTTTTTTAGTGAACGTGGAACGGATGTTGAACGGGATGGGCCTTCGGAAGAAGATTCGAAATGAATATAAAGAGAATAATAAGTAAATAGATAAATAATGTTTAGATAATTAGTGTGTAATGGTACATGTTTGTTTGTATATATAAAATAATAAATAAAAGTAATTGAATAATTTCTCAGAACTTCTTCTCTAATTTAGTTCACCCCCTTAATTTAAGTTGGAAATATTGGTGGAGTTTTTAAATAATACAAAAATTGAATAATCAGAAATTGGCGAACTTTTTCTATTTCAAATTGCATTTTCTATCGTTTTTGGAAAAAAATGCATAAATTTCTTGATAAATATTTTAATAATAAATATTTAATATTTAATAATTAATATTTATTAATTAATATTTAATAATAAATATTTAATACTAAATATTTTCTTATCACAGAACTCGTTTTAACGTAATCAAGTTTGAGATACACCTATACTTTTCCAGGATTTAAAAATTATATCAGACATTATTCCTCTAATATAGCACTCTTCTATAAATAAATTCGTTAAATAAATAATTAATTTTAATTTTATAAATTTTTCTCATTTTTTTCTTTAATAAAATTCGCACTTTGCCAATTCCCCCTTTATCGATTCCTCCATTTGTGCCAAAGCTTTGTGGCCTCCTTTCCTTTTGCACATATTTAGAGTATTTGTATTGAATGAAGTAAATAGTAGATTTATTTAAAACTACTGCCAGCCATTAAAGGAAAGGAGAGAAACAAAAAGAAATAAATGACAGATTTACTATAATATTTTTCCTTAAAAATCCCCAAAAATGACGCGTTGAGATTTTTTAAAGAAATGCTAGTTTAGAATAATTTTTAAAAAGAAATCGAGACCACCAAAGTGTTCCCTAGAGAAGGGAAAACGTTCGTCGTTATTTTTATTTTTTTATTTTAAATAATTTTTAGAAAATATTTAGTAAGTTCGTTTTTGAATATTTATTTTTAAAAAATCTTTTTTTTCCTCCTTTTGAAACTTTTAAATTTATGACAAAGTTTTTTTTTAAATTTCTATGGCAACTCTTCCACTACTATTTAATGTTGCATCCTTTTAATATTCTGGTAAATGTCCGGTTGGTGTCCTACATGTCCGCAAAGAGAATGCGCATTTTTCTTTCCTTTTCTTGCATTTTTTTCTATAAAGAGAGGCGCCCATTTTTCCCTTCTTTAAGGTAGCCTTTTGGCATGTCGAAGGAAAAAGGGAAAATAATAAAAATTAATTACTAATAGAGTACAAATATATATTTTATTTTATAAATGATCAGAGATGAAAATTTGGGACAACATGCTCAAATAGATTTTTAAATATCTGGGGGACTTAATCCATTCGAAAACTTAATCTGTTCCGGAATGCTTCAATCTGCTTTGTATTTGCACCGTTTACTGGATTCATAAAAAATTATTGATGATTTACTGTTTGATGTTGATATCCTAACTAAACCTAAAGTGAATTATAGCTATTTATAGTAGCTATTGTTTGGTAATTATTAGTAGCTATTGTTTGTTAGTAGCTATTGTTTGGTATAGTAGCTATTGTTTGGTAAATCCCCAAGATATTTTAAAAATTTCCCAAGATATATTTGAGAGTTTGTAAATCAATCTAACATTATTAGTTTAATAACTGTTTGTAAATCAATCTAACATTATTAGTTTAATAACTGTTTGTAAATCAATCTAACATTATTAGTTTAATAACTTTATTAGTATTAAAATATCTGGGGGAAGCCTTCTGGAAGGTGGAAGGAAACAACATTCTTGGATTAAGATTCCCCAAGATATTTTAAAAATTTCCCAAGATATATTTGAGAGTTGTACTCTATTAGTAATTAATTTTTATTATTTTCCCTCTTTCCTTCGACATGCCAAAAGGCTACCTTAAAGAAGGGAAAAATGGGCGCCTCTCTTTATAGAAAAAAATGCAAGAAAAGAAAAGAAAAATGCGCATTCTCTTTGCGGACATGTAGGACACCAACCGGACATTTACCTAATATTCTTATTTAAAAAATTTTTGAATTAATTTATTTTTAAATTTTTTTGATAATTATTTTAATTAAACATTTAATTTTTATCAAAAAAATATTTTTATTTATATTTATTTTTAATAGAAATATAGTACATACTTTTATAACGAAATATTAATTAAAGGGAAGAGAGTACATAATTTCCCAAGAGAGAGATTTCTAAATAAAAATAAAGTCAAAAATTAAAAGAATTTTCTTTCTAATTTTTTACTACAAAATGATTATATTTAATATGTATTTTTATAAAATTTATTTAAAAATTTTTGTTCACTCATTTTAAAATATTAAAATTGCTCTTTTCCTTTTTATAAATTTTCCTTTAAAATTTTCTCGAATTTCATACTCTTTAAAATAAACTTTAAATTTATACTTATATTTTATTTCTTTAAATTTCATTTTGATAAAAAATATTTAAATTTTTAATTTAAAATAAAATATACTTTTCCAATATAGAATGCAATAGTTTTTTTCAAAATAAAGAATAAAGCCTAGTAGTCATTGTTTCTGATCCGATTTACATTCCTCAATGATAAACTATCGTCGCGGACAAAAATTTTGAGGAGGGTTTTCTTTGGGATATCGCGAGGGTTTTTTCTAGATTATCACTACCAACTATCGTACATAAAACACAGTTTTTCGAACACTAATAATGGCAATTTAATTATATCATTTATTTATGTATTTATGCCAAATAACACGACAAGCCTTTCTATTACAAATTAGTTTAGGTATTTATTGTTTTAATAAAATATCAATTCAGGCTGTTCTAGATATTTGTTACAAGAATTAATTAATTAAATTTTAATTTTCTTATCTTTTTTCTTTAAATTCTTATCTTTAATATAAAACAATTTGACAGATTATTTATTTTTTTATTAAAAATTCTTAAAAAAATATTTGAGAATTTCCAAAAAAATTTTCTTTTAATATTAATAATTATTTACTTGTTTTATGTATTTTTTTATTTGTTTTTATTTTCTACCTCAATTCACTTCCTTTCATTTTTGTCCTTTTGTGTGTCATTTTTATATTCACATTTTTGCTTAATTCATTTTACTCATTCATTTTTTATTGGAATATTTTTGTGGAGGGAACGGGAGAAAAAAATTTTTTTGAGGGAAAAAATACTTTTTTCTATATCTTCTTCTATAGACGTCTTTAAATATTACACAATTCTTTATTGACAAACTTGGTATAGAAAGGGAATTTATTTGAATAAATTTATTTAAAATTCTGAGAAAAAAATATTTTTAAACAAAATTTAAAGTTTAATTTCTTCATATAATTTTTGAATTTTTTTCTCAAAAGTTACTTTACACATTCTTTCAATGTATGTATTGGCAATTCTTTGTGAAATTAACAATTATAAAATCATTTTATTTGATTATATTTGAGAATTTCCTTGCTAACAAATAGGGTTGTTCCCCGTCCCCGTCCCCCCGTGGCTGCCTCCCCGGAAATTTTCCCCGTGCCCTCTCCTCAGTCGGGGAACAACCCTACTAACAAGCTAACTAATTAAAAAAGAAACAAGTATTGACTGTATATATTTATAGAATTAAAGAGAATATTTCAACATTTATGCCTAGAAAACTTTAATATTTTTATTTATCCAACTCATATTTCACTCATTATTAATACATATACCAACCAACAATTTGTTCACAAATTTTCCATTTTTTGTCTGTAAATTTTTTTCTTCCCTTATTTATTTTTCAATGGATATGCTTATTTCTTTTATCTTTCCAACCAGCCCTCTCTAAAATATTCTGCCCTCGAGACTGTCTCGAAATATTGAATTTTTTGTCTTTTACTTCTTCGCTAAAGTCTAAGCCTTGCTTTCTCTTTTTTTCTTTTTTTCCATGCCGTTTTTAGTAGTTTTTACAATTTCCGACAGCCATCACCCTTCGACGTTTGTCATGGCGAACAAAAGAAAAAAGGCAACGTGTTCTCTTTTTGCAAGTTAATTTAAATAAATTTTTTAAAACTTTAATTTTAAATTGTTTTGTTCAATTCTTTTCTGATTTTAAAAATTATTTTTTTGGTTGAATTTAAACTTCTTTTAAAACATATTTTGAAAATAATTTGATTATTTTGCTTATTTATTAAGTTTTTGAACCCAAACAAAATTTGATTTATATATGGAAATGATTCTTATTAATGACTAGAAATTAAATAATATTATATAATTTTTTTTTCCATTAATTAATTTTAGACACACCTTCATTTATCCTTATTTAATGCTTAATTTCCAAACTTAATTTTATTACTATAAATAAATATTTATTTGTTACTATTTTCAGAATTTAAAAGCTTTTACTTAATTTTTTGTTAATATAATTTATTTTCTAAATACGTCCAACTTGGATATATTTTATATATAATTAATAATAAAATAAAAAGAAATTATTATACAATAAATAAATATTTATTACTAAATAAATTTATTGGCATTTTAAAATATTTATTTATTAACAGCAAGTTAAAGAAGAAAGATATACAATTTTACTTAAAGTTTTAAAAACGTCGGATGCTTGGGGCATCATCAAGTAGCGAAGAGGAAGACGATTTTGTTGCGAATGATAATGCTTCTGAAGTTTGATTTTATATTTAACTCACTTTAGTATATTGAGTTAAGATAAGTTAAAAGGACAAAACTTGTATTTAAGTATGGATAGCCCCTTACTCTCAATAGCCCCTTACTCTCGTTATCCAATTGAAAATCTTACTCCAAATCGTTGTACTACTCTATAGCTCTTATTAGAATATTATTAGATCACATCAGGAGTTGGCGGTCAATTTCGTACAATCCAACAAAACCATTTTATTAACCAACAACAACAGCAATATCCTGGTGGCCTTCGTACAGCTAGTCCGGCATTTAGAACAGAATCTCCAGCCTCCTCAGACCAATCCTCCTTTGCAACAAGTATTAGAAGAAGTGAAAGCTCAAATGTTGGGAGAAGAACGACTGGAGGTTCAACTCCACAACCCAAAGGTTCTTTTAGAGCAGGCGGCGTAAGTGCTTTGGGTAGACCTACAACACCTAGAAAGGTTTTTCGTTAGAAATTTTGACTTTAATAAAAATAATTTTTAAAGCAAGGAAGTTTCCGTTCAACACATGGAAGGTCTGTACTTGGTGGGAGGGAAGGTTTTGGTGGTGGAGGAGGTGGGCCTGATTCAGCTTATTCTCCAGCATTTGGACATCAAAGTTCTCAAGATTTGTTTACGGATGAAGAGGATTTGGGAGAAGGGGAAGATGATCCACATATTTTAAATGGGGGTAGTGGAATGCTTACTAAAGAAGAAGAGGAAAGGCTTAAAGCTGAGGAAGAAGAGGAAGACAGGAAAAGGTTAAAATAAGAAGAGATTTTTTAAATTTAAATTAAATTATTATTAAAATTAAGATGCCTTCAACTTTATGTGTTTGTAGCTAAATGTATAGCTTATCACTTTAATGCTAAACAACCTACTGATATGGCTAGAAGAAGGCTTAAAGTTTGTGTTTTTAATTAATTATTGATAATCTAAATTGTATATTTGAGAGAGAAACTTTAATTTAAATTTAATTTTTAGATAACAAAATCAGAATTGTTAAGAATAAAAGATCGGTTTAACGGCTTCTTAAAAGGAGATATACAAATTCCAGCAGACGAAGCATTCACTAAAGCTATAGAATCTTATTTTGAAGTTTTTCTAAAATCAGAAAGAGTTGCTAAAGTAGTCCAAGCTGGGGGATTTGCTGCAAATGATTTTAGAGAAGTTTTTAGATGTAATGTTGAAAGAAGGATTAGATCTTTGCCTGAAATTGATGGATTGAGTAAAGATACAGTTTGGTTATTTAATAATATTTTAAAATTTCCCCTTAAGGTAACAATAATGTTAAAATTAATTAATTAAAGGTTTTGGCTTCTTGGATGGCCAAATTCGATTTAATAATGAAATGTGATGATGATACTGTACAGACAAAACAAAATAGGTTAAAAATAAATTATTCTTTTTAAAAATAATTTAAATAATTTTTAGAGGTAGATTGAGAGGGGCAAATCAAGTTATTGCAGACGTTATAATGAGTAAAGAACAACTTTATGATATGTTTCAGCAAATTTTAAGTAAAACATTTATTTAGAAATTTAATTAAATAATTTAAATTTGTTTAGAAGTTAAAAAATTTGAGCATCAAATTATTTGTAAGTTTTTATTTTTTGTTTTTTATCTAGAAAATAAATTAAAGATAATGCCCTTCAATTGGATAATCCTGATGAACAGGCTGCGGCCATTCGAAGGGAGGTGGCAACAAGAGAAGAAACTTTGAGGGATATTCCAAGGGTATTTCCCACAAATAATTAAAATAAAAATATATTTTTAATTTTTAAAGTTAAAACGGGTAATGCCTAAATTCGTCGTAAAAGATATGGATACACTTTTTATTGACGAAGTTCGCCAGTCTATTAATTTGCTCATCTCAAATCTGGAGTCTGTGCCTGTAGCACCAAGGCAAACTTTGGGGAGAAAAAAGGAAAAGAATAAAAGTTCTAGGTAATTTTTAATTTTTGGTTCTGGTTTAAGACATGTGTCTCAAACGATCTATGCGACCTATGAGAATTTATGCGTCCAAATAATGAAAGTAAATATCAGAGCAATAATCTCATATTTTTTCAAATAAATGTTGTAAAATTTTTTGTAATTGTAATGATTAGTGTATTAATAATTAGGCATTTCATAGGTCATAGGTCATCTTTAGATTCCAATGAAACGCATGTCTTAAACCAGAGGGTATTTTAAATTTAACAAAGCAGAGTTTAAAACAAATTTTAAATTAATAAGTTATTGGAAATAAATTTGAAACAAAAGATTTTAACAATACACCTTTCATCAGAGAAATTTAAATTTTTTGTTTGTAAATCCAATTTTTCTCTCCTTATTTTCCAAATATTTTTCTGATGTTTTAAATTCCTTTATTTTTAATTATTAAATTTTTTCTAATTGTTCTCTCCTATGTTTAAATTTTTTTATCAATTTTGTCAATTGTTTCGTTGCAGGTCTCGCAGCATTGAGGATCTTTCTCTCTTCAACAGGTCCTCCAACATTTTTATTTGTTTTTTAAAATTCTTTTTTAAATTCTAAATTTGTTTAAATTTAAAATTAGAAAGAATTTGTGTGAAAAAGTTGTTTTTTTATCCTTATTTTTATTTTTAAAATTATTTTACTAACAAAATTAAACAAGGAATATAACAAATATTTAGTTAGAAATTGTTATAAATATGGAATATTTTTTTCAAGAAAAAAAATTTTTTTTGAAAATTATTTAGGAAATATAAAGAAAAGTAAAAAAAGTTTTAACCCCCTTCCCAAATTTTTTAAAAAATAATTAAAACAAAAAAGCTGATTTTAATAAAATAACAAGAATATTCCTCCCTTTTTTAGTTTAAAAAGAAGAACAAGTGCAATGAGTCTTAATAAAAATGGAGAGGGTGATGATGAAGTTCATTTAAGTAAAAATGATGTAGTCCTTTCATTTAATATGGAGGTATTTAAATTTAAAAATTAAAATAATTTAAATAAAAGGTTGTTGTAATGGAAGTTCAAGGACTAAAATCTTTACAGCCAAATCGAGTAGTTTATTGTACAATGGAAGTTGATGGGTGTCCAAAACTTCAAACAGACCATGCCGAAGCTTCTAAACCTTCGTAGAAAAATTTTCTGGAAATTATAATTAAAAAAAATTATTTTTTCAAAGATGGGATACTCAAGGAGATTTTTGTACAAAACATCCTTTGCCAACAATTAAAGTTAAATTATATGCCGAAGTAAAAAACATTGTAGCTTTTGAAGACAAGTTTAAAAAAAATAAATTAATTAACATAATTATTTTTTTAAAGAGAACTTGGAAAAGTTGTAATACAGCCAACACCTAATTGCTCTAGACAACCTGAATGGTATAAAATGACAGTTCCAAAAAATAGTTCTGATAAAAATTTGGGGTAATTTTGGAAAAGGAAATTTTTTCTAAAAAAGATTTTAATTTAAAGAATCAGAATTGCAATTCGTGTTGAAAAACCTCCAAATTTAAAAACTTGTGGATATTGTTATGGAATTGGGAGAGTAGCTTGGAAAAAATGGAAAAGACGGTTTTATTGCCTTGTTCAAGTATTAAATTATTGTTTATTTAGAAATTTATATTTTAATCTATGTAAAATTAAGGAAGTAAAAATTAGGTAATTCCCACAATTTATGATATGCATCACTTGTAAATTTTTGAGGGGGAAAAGGAATAAAAGCTGAAAAAAAATAAAATGTTTTGGAGTAACAGATAATTACCTAAAATTATTTTTAAGATCTGTTGTAATATTTGTTTCTAATATTTTTTAAACCTAATGAAATAAATTCAATTAAGTAATTTAATTAGGTATCACAATATGCCTTCGCTATGTGCAGTTACCGTGAGAAAAAATCTGAACCTACAGAATTTGTCCAATTAGATGGGTTTACTATAGATTATGTACCTGAACCAGATCCTGGTAAATTTTTTATTTTTTAAATAAATTTATTTTAATTCTTAGAGCTTTACAATCAAGGCGGAAAATATTTCTTTACGTTAGTTTTTAAATTTAATTAATTATTAAACTTCAAATGTACTTATTTTTCCTTTTAATTTTTAAGGGCTATCAGAGAAGGAGATGAATTAAAATTTGCAACGGATGATGAGAATGAAAGAAATCTTTGGGTACAAGCTTTGTACCGCGCAACGGGACAAGCTTATAAACCTGTGCCTCCAAAGCAATCTGTATTAGCCTCAAAAACACAGGGACTACAAGATAAAGCTTCAAAACATGGTGAATATATAAGAGTTTAGGCATTACAAGTATTTTGGTCTAAAATTGAGGGGAAAATGATACACATAAAGGAATCTAAAGGGATTGATGAGTAGATAATAATTTCTTGAAAAAGTTAAAAAAAAAACTATGCTTTTAGAGGAAATATTTTAAATTCCTTTTAGGGAATGTTGAATAGAAAAGGGATTAAATTATTCTCAATTAAAAATAATAAAATAATTTAAAGGTTTGGATGAATTAATCCAAGCAGATCCAGTTCAAATGGCTCATGACCATTTATTTGCTAAATTGCAGAGTATGGCCTTAGATTATAGATTAAATGACCCAATCTGTTCTTTGGTTAGAAAATTAATTTTTAAAATTTATTTTTTACAAAAATTAAAGGGTTGGTTTTCTCCCGGTCAAGTTTTTGTATTAGACGAGTATTGTGCTAGATATATGGTTAGAGGATGTCATAGACATGTGTCTCTGTTAAATGATTTATTAAATAAAGCAGATGATGGGCATTTAATAGAGCCAACTTTAATACATTATTCTTTTGCTTTTTGTGCTTCTCATGTACATGGAAATAGGTGAAGAAATTGAAAATTAAATTAAAATTTGCGACTTGGACGTGAAATAAAAGTTTAAGATTTTTTTTCAAAGAAATAGAATTTTAGAAAGTGACCTCGGTATATGTATAATTAAATAACAAAAAGTTTAATTGGGAAAAACAAAAAAGTTTCTCTCCTAACTTTAATTAACAATTAATTTTTAATTAATTATTAATGGTGGAATTTCTTAGAAAAAATTTTTTATTTAAATAACAAATAATTAGTGTACACCCCAACATAGGTACCGCGAGTCAAACTTACCGCAGAGCTATAACTTCGTCAATGATGGTCGAATCCGGGACGCATTGGTATGATTCGATTCAGCTCGTCGAGGCGCATCAAACCATGCCAGGGCGGCCCAGATCCGACAATTCTGAACGAAGTTATAGCTCTGCGGTAAGTTGGACTAGCGGTAAGGTAGCCTGCTCCCAAATAATTAAAATTATTTTCTAGACCAGATGGTGTAGGTACAGTTACATTAGAAGAAAAAGAACACTTTCAAGAAGTAAAAGAACGTTTAAAAGTTTTATTAGAAAAACAAATAACCAATTTTCGGTAATAAAAATTTAAATTAAAAAAATATTTTATTAATTTTAAAGTTATTGTTTTCCTTTTGGAAGACCAGAAGGAGCACTTAAAGGAACACTTTCTTTGTTAGAAAGGGTTTTAATGAAAGATGTTGTTTCTCCTGTTCCTCCTGAAGAAGTAAAATATAAATAAAATTTAATTTAATAAATAAATTATTTTAAAAGGTTCGTTCAGTAATTAAAAAATGTTTGGAAGAAGCAGCATTAATTAATTATACAAGAATTTGTAATGAAGCTAAAATTGAACGTAAAATTTTAATTAAATATTAAATTAATTTGTTTTATTTAGAAAGAATGGGTGTTGATATAAGTCCACAGCAAAGAATAGAAGATATGATTAGAATAACTGAATTGTGTATAGACTTGCTCAAAGAAAATGAAGAACATCATGGAGAGGTAAATTTTATTTTAGCTTATTTCGATCAAATCCCTAATTTATTTTCTACTTTCTGAATTATCCTCTTGCTTTTCTATTAAATTATTTTAAATGCTGGATGCGATAAACGGCTCGTGGTTTATTAATTTTTTATACCGGCACAATTCTAAAAAACTTAATGGTCCAAACAATAGAAATAAGGGTCACGGGTGATGAAGAATTAGTTATGATAAAAATAAATCACATCCGGTATTTGTAACACTCACATGCGTATAATCAACTAATTTATTTAGTAATTAAATTATCTTAATTTATTTTTCTATTTTCTGCAATTTCCCTATTTTTTCTAAACTTTTTTTATTTTATTTTTCCAAAACTTTTCTTTTCCCTATATTTTCCATTTCAGCAATTACGTGGTGCTGGCGAGTTAAGTTTTAAAAATTAATTTAAGGATTTGTTGCTTTTTTGCTTATTTTGCTTTTCTTTTTTTGCTTATCTCTTTGCTTTTTTTATTTGCCACAATCTTTTTTATTTCTATTTATTAATTTAAATTTAATTTTTTAGGCTTTTGCCTGGTTCTCTGACCTTTTGGTTGACCATTCAGAAATATTTTGGACTTTATATTCTGTTGATTTGGATGCTGCTTTAAAAATGCAACCACCCGATTCTTGGGATGCTTTCCCCCTTTTTCAATTGCTCAACGATTATTTATGTACAGATACAAATTTAAGAATGGGACCTTTTCATAGAAATTTGGTAGAACAATTCGAGCCGATGGTCAAACATTATATTAATTTAATGGAGAATAGTATTGCTTCTTCTATTGATAAAAACTTTCAAAGAGAAAGATGGGAAGTTAGAAAGTAATGAGTTTATACTAATAATTTATTATAGCAGTAATAACCTTCAAATCTTAATAAATAAAAAATAACAATTAATTAACTGGATAATTTCATTATTTCATTTATCTCAAACCCTATTTATATTTCAATTAAATTTAATTTTAAAAATATTTAAGAGATGGTTGTTCAACATCAGAAGATATTTATTGGAAACTTGATGCCTTACATGGTTTTATCCAAGATTTGAATTGGCCAGCAGAAATATTTGCAATGGAGTTACAGGGAAGAATGAGAAGTTTATCATCTGAAATGATTTCACGTTGTGCTTGTTGGTAAGCATTAAATAATTAGTAAAAATAAAATATTTATTTTCCCAGCACTTATCAATGTTTTGACCAATTTATGCAAAGAGTAAAGAAATCTTTAGATTGGATTTTACCTTCAGAAGTTTGTGTTATGGTTAACGTTGTTTTTGCTTCTAAAGCCAGAGCTGCTAAATTAAATGGGGGTGAACATGCTCTTTTTGCATTAGACGATACTCTTGATACAATGTTGGCAGATATGGGGACAATAATTGAAGAAAAATTGCTTTCAATTCTTGAATTTACTCTTTCAAGATTGGCTAGATATGATGAGGTAATTAAAGGAGAGAAAATTGAAATTTTCTTATGGATGTTTCAAACTAATAATTTAGGGTAATCCAATTGGTGCATTATTGTCAATGGCCCCAAAACCAAATACAATATTTAATAAAATGAGAAATTTGGTTGGAGAAGGTTCTTCCCCAACTAATCAGCCACAACAACATTCACTTCCCTTAAATCAACAAAATTTAAATCAAAATAATTCTGCTGGGGGTGCTTCCTCTGCACATTTGGGGCAATCTTATGTACATTTTATGCGTGGATCTTCTGAACAAATTCAACAAGTAGTTGCTGATGAAGTTTGGGTTAATAGATTATTACAGGTATTTTTTGGGGGCAAATAAATTTAATTTTGAATAAATTACATAATTCTTCTATTGTTTAATGTAATTACCTAAATAGTCTAAGTTGTATCCAGAATTCGAAATTTCGGGGACTATAATTGGATGTTCAGACAAATTTTTGGTTTTCAGATGCCACGATTTTTTGATAATTTCCTTTCACTTTTTTCCCCGTTTCAGAGGTTAACTTTTATGCTCGCTTTCAAATAACCAGAATTTATATCAATTTATATGTCATTTTCTTAAATCCTTTTCGGTACATCCCTGACATATTATCAATAAGTGTTAGGTATCCGGCTGAACCGAGAGGTCGGAGTGAAGCCACAAAGCTCTTCTCAATTTAATTTCACAAATAGAAATTTAATACATTTTTTAGGAATGGTATGCCGGGCAAATGCGAATGTTAAATGAATGGTTAACAGAAAGACTTCAACAATCATTATCTCCCTATCAATTAACATGCCTCTCCTTCATGTTTAAAGTTTTTAAATTAAAAATAAACTTTTTTAATAATTTATATTTTTTCTTAGAAAATTTACTCAGATTTTGAATTACATGGAATAGATGAAGAACAATTAAATAGTAAAATATATCAATCAGTCCAACGTCGCCTTCAATTAGAAGAAACAAATTCAGCTTTAAATGAATCTTCTAATCGAATCCACCACTCTTCTGGACCTGGAAGGGGGGCACTTGGAGGGTTTACAAATCAATTGGGACAGTCTGCTTTGTTTGTTTTTTTAATTACTCAATCAGTAAACAATAATTATATATTTTAATATAGATTAAGTAGTTCAGCTGCTTCCCAAGCTGTTTCAATGGTGGAAGGTGCTAGTGCTAAATTGTTTACAATGTTTAAATAATTTTAAAAGAAATATTTTTATTTTTAAAGATTATTTTATATATTTTTAACAACTTTTTTTCTCCCTCATTTAATATTAGTCATTTAAATTAATAATATTTTATGAAAATATAAAAATAATTCTAATTTTATTATTTATAATTCTTTTAAAAATTAAAATATATTAACGTTAACTAAAGTCAGATTTATTGTGTTTGTTTATAACATTTGAGTTTATTTATAGTTAAATCAAAAAATATATATATGTATGTTAGTCAAATATCTATACCTATAAGTTCACCCTCCAAGTTAATGTAAGTTTTGACACGAAAAAGGGTAACGTGGGAGAGGAGCCGTTATGGAGATTTTGCATTATCTTTTCGCAATGTAATTAATAATAAATTTAAAAAACTTAAAAAGATTCCTCATATTAGGATTCGATCCAAGCCCCCCCCCCTCAGTAGTCACATAATTGAAGCCAATTTTAAAAATCTAAAGAAAAACATTTATTTTCAAAAAATCTATTTAATACAATTAAAAAAATTAATTTTTATTTTCTATAATCTATAATTTAAAATCTTTTCAAACCCCAATATCTTTACGTCCAGGTCCTGTCCATCCTTGTACCTTTGGCCGAGTTGTCGAATAAGGAACATATTTCTTGCTTCTGTAAAATTTTAACTTTTAATAGAATGAATTATTTATAAAATAATTCAAGGTAAAAAATCTTTTTTTGAAGATTAAGATTTTTAATTAAGAAATATATGGGAAGGTTGCGAGGTGTCCGAGCTGCGTTTCGAAGCAGGCTAACACTAATAGTAAGTCATTCGAAAAATGGGAGGTATCTAAAATTGAGGATATCGCTTAGGCAGCTCCTCCATCCAATAGCCAAACAAATCATAAAAACGTATATAAAATTGATAATGTTTTAAGGATACGTAAACTGGAGGTCTGACCGAATTTTCAAAAATTTTATTTTAGTTAAAAAATATTAAAAAAACAAACAATTCAACGCTTAAATTCTCCTGATGTTCCAATTGCCATTTTGGATTAGATAATTTCTCAATAGTTGGTGGTTTATCCTAAAATTTAAATTTTAAATAAAATTTAAAATAATTTAAAAAAATACACAAATATGATGAATCCATCTATGCCATTCTGGAGGGATTTGTGAACCATCATATTCCAACCATTTCTTTTCTGTATAAATTACCCAACGATTGCGAGGCATAAATTGTGAATTGTCCTTAAAACGTTAGAAGTTATTGTAAAAGAAAAAAATGTAAAAAAGGTATGCCTAAACTAGTGATCGAGATTTTTGAAAAGCCTGGAGGCCTGTTCCTGGGTTTGATTTATTGACATTGGCCGGATCCTGAGCCTGTAGTCTAAGAAAAACCCCAAGACCAGGAAAAACCCAGGAAGGTCAAAAATTGACTGGGCCTGGGCTCTGGGTCAAAAAGAACCCAGGCCTTGGTCCAGACTCAGCTCGATCATTACCTGAAACCAAAATTTCTTAAATGTCATAAATATAATCCTTAAAAATTAGAAAAATTCGAATAACCAAGTAAAACAAAAACCTCAAAATATCTATTTCCAAATTGGTCTTCTCCAACAAAATTTCCTTTTTTCAAATCATCAGTCCTTAAAAATTAAAATATTTACTATTAAAAATTAAAAAAAAATAAACTTACAAATACATCTGCTTAAAAGCAGCCTTAAACCCTCCAACTTGTTTTAAAGTATCACGGAATTTTCCAAGCCTATCAAGCATAAAATATTCTTTCAATGAAGGCATTTTTATTTTTTTATTAACTCTTTAAAAATAAAATTATTTTTAACAAAATTAAAAACAAAAAAGTTCGAATGAGAGAGAATGATAAAAGAAAATAGAGAAATAAAGATTTATAAAAATACATAATGCCAGAAAAAATAAAATTGTTAAATATTTAAAAATATTTTTTAAAATTTAAATAATACGGTAATATCCACTTCAAGTTTTAATTTTAGACAATACATATAAGAATTATGAATCAGAAATAAAATTTGGTTCAAATTTTAATTTTAACCTAGTGAAAAATATGTTTTTATTTAAATATTTTAAATTAAAAACAAATCAAAATTAAATACAAAATATATTTTTATTTTCTAAATAATTAAACTAAATTTAATAGAAATATATTTTTATTTTATTTTTCTAAGCAATTGCTGGATATCCATCTAACATATCTAAAGCAACTAAAATTTAAATTAATTTATTTAATTTTAATAAATAACTACTTGGATTATAATCTAAAAATCTCTCATATTGTTGGTGATTTAAATCAAAATCTGTCATTTCTATCGAAGAATAAGAAAATGAAGGGGGTTGAAGTGCAAACCAGCGGGGAGTTCCGCTAAAAACAATTGAAGTATCTAAAGAAGGAAATTTTCTTTTAGAAATAATTTTTAAATTAAAAACTACCTCCAAGACTAACCAAACATTGACCTAAAGGCTGATTTTCGCTTCTTCTATCCCTATCATAATTATAAACAGTAAATTCTAAGAAATGACTAGCAAGTCTGTCTACACTAATTGAATATTCTAATAATTGATCCCAAATTGGATTTGAATTTTTTGGTTGATATTTTGTTCGGCGTTTATTTGAAACTCTTAAAATATTTTAATTAAAAGAAAAAGACATTTTTTTTAATTTTTACTTTCTTCCTGGAAGTAAATATATTTTTACATAAGCATTTGGGGGTATTCCTCCCTCTCTACACGGCAAAGCTCTAGCTGCCAAAACATAAACTTGAAGTAATTCTTCTTGGGGAGTATATGCAAGTGCTAATTGTAAATAACCGTGAGAACCATTTAATCTGGCACTCTAAATTTATTTTTAATTAATTAATTAATCAAAAACTTGATACTTTTCCATTAGTATTAAATGGATATTCTTTTAAATCATTAATCGAATATTCTTTATTATTCAAATTTTGTTGTGGTAAACTAGATTTCCTTTCATTCTCCTCTTCATCACTAATGCTATTGCTGCTTTGGTGTGCAGGAACGGGTGGGGGTTCATTGGGAGAATGCCAACATGAAGAATCAACTAAATAAAAGGATCATCATATTAACATATTTTATTAGAAGAATAACTAACATTCTTGTTTATTTTTAAGTCGAGAATTAGCAAAAGCAATCTTAACATCTCTCCCTATTTTTCCCCCACTTCCCTTCTTCTCCTCACATCCATTTAAATAATCATCACAATTATTAATCCTTTTTTGCCCACTTTTACAAGAAACAATCATTTCAATTTCTCCCGTTCCCGCCTGAATAATTCTTTCAACTTCTTCATAAGTCTTTCCACTTAATAAAACACCATTCCATTCAAGAACCTTTTAAAAAAGAATTTTCGGAAAAATTATTTTTCAAAAGCAATTACTTGATCTCCTTCAACTAATTCTCCTAACATTTCTTGAGCACAACTTTTGTCAACAGAACTAATAAAAGCACCCAAATCACCATTTGGCATTCTTTTCCCCCCAACTACTCGAATACCCAAATCTTTAAAATATTTAAAAATTAATCTTTTTAAAAAATTTTTTACCTTTAAAAACATTATCATATTTATATTTTCTAGTTAATAATAAACGTTTAATTTTTGATGAACGTTTTGATATTTTTTGTGTAGAATAATTGTTGTTATTTTTATTTGTAGGGAAAATATTTTTTTCTGTTTAGAATAAAATAATTGAAAGAAAAAATTAAAAAAAATAATTTTATAATTATTTTGTTATTTTACAAGAGCTCATCCAAATTAGAGAAAAGAGGAATAAAAAATATTTTTTTAATATTGATGATTAGATATAAGAAATAAAATTTAAGATATTTATATGTAGTCTTAAAATGCCAAGGATTCAGAAAAGAAATTAAAATAATATTCAAAACATAATCAGTCAAAAAAGTGAAAGTAGATAAATATTAGATTAAAAATTAAACTTAACAATATTTAAAAAAACAAAGATAAATCTATTCGTGCAATCGGTGGTAGACGCTTGATCCAATGTATCAAGTAAAGTAGAGATGACTTATCGAGTGTCTCCCATATATGCATTTATAACAAAACTTACTTTATGCAGCTGACAAGTTACTTATCATTCTTCCTTCATTTTGTCAATTTCAATAATAATTAATCTTTTTTATCAACTTAATATTTTTTAAACAAATTTTAATTAAATCAAATCTCTTAAAATAAGTACAATTTTTTCAAATCTGTTTTTTACACACACATATATTTAAATTAAAAAATCTCAAATACAAGAAAATTTATTTAATGAATGATAAAATAATAAAAGTGAATAAATTTTTAAAAACGATTTATGAAAAGAAAAATATTGTTACTCGAGTTATATATTAATGAAAATGTGAGAGGACTTTAAAATTTATTATTTAATTTTCAAGAATATATTTGGATGAGCTCTTATATTTAAAATCTTTTAAATTCAGAAAATTCATCAATTAATTTTATCATTTGTCTGCTATCTACCTGTTGTCATTTTATTAATTTCCCTAATATTTTGTGGCCATTCATTTGATAATTCATTTGGCCAACTCTCATCAGCACTGCGTAAAGGAGGTTGCCTTTTTCTTAAAATGCTTGGAGGTAAACTACGACTTTGATGTTGTTGATGGTGTTTATTAAAAGGCTGTGAAAGTGAAGAAGATGGAAATTGTTGTTGGGTATATTGTTGAGTTTGTGGAATTCTATAATTTGGAGGCATTATTCTGTTGGACATTAAATCATTATTCAGCCAATTTGTGCCAAACTGTTGTTGCTGTTGTTGTGGTTGCAGTACTTGTTGATGTGAAGGGTATCCACAATAATAACTATTATCTACTCCATAAGGTTGGCGATAAAAAGAAGGTTGTTCTCGCCAAGCAAAATTTCCATATTCTGGTGTAGGTGGAGGCCTTGCTCCATAATTTGTCTCATTTCTGCTATAAACAAAAGGTTGTTGTTGTTGATCTTCATATGCAAATCCTGAAGGAATTTGCCATAAATTTGGTTGACGTTGATGATATTGTTGTTGAGTATCAGGGAAGTATTGCATTTGTCGTTGAACATCAAAATAGTCATTATATGGAGGTAAGTTGTCTCTATATCCGGGAATTCCAGCATAATCTTGCCCACCTTTTGAAGAATTTCATTATTAATAGAGTATCCCATTTATTGTTAATGCAAAATCAAGAGATTTTTTATATATAGAGAATAAGAAATGAAGGAAAAATATCAGAAAAACTGGTATTATAAAATTGAAAATTAATAATGATTTTGCAATAACAAAAATGCAATTCTTGATTATTTTAGTAGTACCAAAAGGTCGTTGTAAAGGTTGTTGCCTTTCTCTTTCCCTCTCATCAGCTATTCTCTGTTGTCGTTGCTGTTCAATGAAACGATTATTCAAAAAGTTGGCATATTCTGATAATAATTCGTTTGAAGCTGGAGATTTTCGAATATGTGAAAAGTTTCCATCAATAAATTGACTGGTAGATGGTTGAATATCAAGAAAATCTGTTTGTTTTTTTGGAGGTCTTTGAAAACCGCTCATTTGAAAATCGTCAACAAACGAGTGGTTCAATTGATTTAGTGAGCGACTTGGTTGCCAATAGGGAGGTCTTTGTTGTCTTCCAACATTTTGTATAGCATCAAATTGACTATCAAGTCGTTGACTGTAAAGTTGTTCTCTTCCAAAACTATCAGAAAACTCCCCAGGATAATTATTGGAACTATCAAGATCTTGAAGAGAATAGGAACCATAAACTGAAGGCGGTTGTTGTTGCTGTAGTAAATATTGTTTATGCAATTGTTGTTGTTCTTTTGGAGCAAATGAGGAAGTCAATCGTCGCTCATAATCTCTCGGTAATGAACCATAAGTGTATCGAGAACGATCGTGAGGGGGACGCTGATAAGAAGAAGGCATTGATAAAAGACCTCCACTTTCAGGCCAGCCTCTAGGCAAAGAGTTGGTGCTGTTAAACGAAGGTTGGAATTGTTGTTGAGGAAAAGGCTGAGAAGGCTGAGAAGGCGGGTGGGAAGGAAATTTAGGTATAAATTCTTGTTGATATTGAGGCCAGTATATTTGTTTGGTTGTCGTTAAATCATTGTAACGTAGATCGCCTAGCGAATTGAAGTATTGTTTTCTTCGTTGTTCTAACTCAGCACGTACACAACGTTCTTTCCGAACTCTTTCGCTTTGGGTGTCGGAATCTGTCAGATGGAAACGGCCAAGCCTATTATTTTCTCTATATCGCTGCCAAGGCTGATAAGGGTGAGAACGTTGTTGAGACCAGTCAACACTTGTAGAAGATAAGTAACGCCGAGATGAGGGATCATCTGACATTGGTTGTTGTAGTTTATGGGCACCAGAGTAGGGTGGAGGCCAAACCCTTAATAATAATTGTCTAATAAATAAGGAAATCAAAAGAAGGGGGAAGTACAAGTGTTTCTTAAATTCAAGGAACAAAGAGAGAAAATTAGAATACCGGCGAAGTTTTTCCTCAGATGTCCACATCCGTTCCTGTCCAGATAAGCCATTAACAGCATCATCAATTTCTACAGATGGATCTGTTTGGGTTTCGGCACAGAGTGCGGTCTGGGTACAGGCATCTCTGGCATCAATTGATCTTTTTATCATTTGTTGTTGTAATCTTTTATTAATTTCTTCTCGTTTAGTATTTGATCCATAATCTTTTGAAATAAATTTCTTTTGAGTTTGATTAGATAATGTAGTAGTTGAAAAAGTTGGAAGTGAAGATGAGTCCTCAACATTAGCTTGGCATGCAACTGAATGAGAAATACCTATCCTTTGATGTTGTTCTGATGTTGAAGGCAAACCATAATGAGGAATGGCAGTTTTTTGTTGTTTTTTTAATGTTGAAGGGACAACTCTAGCACCAGCAATTAAATCTTTAGGTAAAGAACATTTTACAACGTTTGGTATTGAATCTAGTTCGGATGGGCGAATAGGCAATGAAGATGCACCAGTAGAAGAAAGTAATAAATCCCCACCATTTCGCAACCAACGATCAATAAGGTATTGTCTATGGCGAGCTTCAATCTCACAAGTATCTAATTCTTCACGTCTCTTTGTCAATGCTTCTCTCAATTCTTTTTTAAACATTAATTGGCAAATTGTTTCTTGAGTGGCTCGTTGTTCAGCATTGTTGATAATTGGTTTTTGTTGTTTTTGAGCAACTTTTGTCGTTGTTGCAGTATTTTTCCAGGGAGATGATGAAAGTGAAGAGGATAGTAAAGGTTTAACTGATTTAAGAATGGAAGATGAAGGAGATGCCGATGCAGCTGATGTAGGAATATTTAAAGGTTGCATCAGCAAAGAGCCTAATGATCTTGAATAACTTGATTGTTTCTTTTGAAATTTTGGAGATATTTCCTCTTGAGATCGAAAAGTAGCTCCAGGAATGATTGAAGCTGTTAACGATAAATGGTCCAAAGTACTTCCTGGATAACTTCTTCCATAAAGTTGTGCGGATTTATTTAATAAAGTCTGTTGATTTTGTTGAAGATCAATAAGAAATGTTTCGTTTTTCTTTTGCTGAATTTCCGAAAAATAATCAGGTTCTTGGCCATTTGTACCAACAGCTGCATCGCACTTTTCGGGTGCATAAGAAGTATAGTAGGTTATTGGATGAGTTGTGGATGTGCTAGGTGTTGTTATGAAAGAAGAATGACGACGGTTAATAAGATTTAAATTATCTTGAGATATTCCATCGAAAATGGCAGAAGATAAAGTTTGAGGCGCTTGATAAGAAAGACTTGGGATAATTGGTTGTTGTCTTTGTTGTGCAGAGGTTGAAGCAAATGTAAGGCCTTGAAAATAATTTTGTTGAAGAATTTGTTGTTGGACAGCCGAAGATGGCAATGAAGGTAATCTTCGACGGCCCATCTCAGCACAAACAACCGGTAAAGGTGGATATTGGAATTGTTGAGCAGTAAAATTATTTGAGATAGTTGTTGAAGTTGTTGAAGTAATACCGGTTGTTGTTGGTGGTAGTTCTGGTTTTGAATAAATGGCAGTGGTGATTGTAGTGCTAAGAGGTTGGACACTTGCATCATCCTATAAGATTCGAGGATAATTTATGTGGATATCTAACTAAATTATAGTCATAAAGATCTAATTTTAATTGATAAAAAGTAATTTTCTATTTTAATTAAATATTATAATGTAAACTTCAAAGATTTACTTGACCAGGAAAACCGAGTTGCGAGAAAGAGAAATTTAAAAAATTTTAAATTTAATCTTACTATTATTTAATGATTTTTTTGTTTAAGCTGTTGACTTTAAGTGCAACAATAAAATAATCCATTTAAAAAATAATCTCGATAATATGTATAAAATTAATAATTTGTTCTCCAAATAATGGAGAGAATTTAAAATAATTTTCTAAAATGGAAAAATAAATAATGTTTTTTAAAAAATATTGATGAAATATTTTAGCATTTAAAATGAACAATAAAATAAAAATTTATTTGGGCCTTCAATATTTAATGGAATTCCTTTATTACTGAAAAAATATTTTTATCGGCTTTTTATTTCTACATTAAAGTAAAAGTAAAAGCAAGAAAAAATAAAAAGAAGACAAAGGAAAAGCAAAATAAAAATGAGGAATGTTTGTAGTAGAGGCTCTATTTGGTTTTACACCTCCTCTCTATCCCCTTTTTTGGCACTGACGAGAAAAATGAGAAATGAACTGAAAAATATATAAAGTACTGCTAAGTATTGGATTGCCTACGAGAGTATACTTTTGCGTGCGTGTTTGATTGAGTGGAGGGAGGGCGAGAGAAGGATTGCCGCAGCGGGATTTGTTAAAAATTTAGAGTCTAATAAAAGCTATTTTTGCTTAATAATCACTAAAATACTCTAAAATACTTGCAAATATAGACAGAAAAAGGACATAAATGGCCTAGACTAACATAAAGAAAATAACTAAAAAACCCTGCTTTCATTGCCTGGGGCAATGTTTCCGGTATTGGCGTGAAGAGTTGGCATCTGTAAATGAAGGAAGTGAGGCGAGTGAAAAGAATATATTTGTGAGGGTGGAGAAGTTGAAATAAAAAAAAGTATAGAAATAAATTGAGAGAATTTTTGTTTGTTAAAAATATATTTTTAGAATAAGATAAATCTCTAAATAAAAAATACTAGAAAAATGAGTAAAATAATGTTAGAAAAATAGTAATTATATATTTCTAAAATAAATTGGAGCTTAAGGGAATTAAAATTAAATAACTAATTAAAGAATTATAAAGATAAATCAAAAAATGACATTGAAATCAAAACTTTTTAAGCCTCATAATTTTAGAAATTAATTAAGTTTAATCTCGCAACTCGATTATAATAAATTCAATCATTAATTAAAACATTATTATTATAAAATTAAGTGAAATGAGGAAAAGAAAAATTAAAAAAGTTCAAACTTAAAAAGAATCTTTAACTCAATAAATATATGTAGAATGTCTTGAGAAAATTTTAAGAAAATTCATAAAGTTTAAAGAATACACCACACAAAACATTAATTTTTATTTAAACAATCACAAAACAAAAATCAACACACACACACACTTAAAAAAATCACCCACCGGTACAATCCTTTTATCTTCAACAGTAGAAGTGGAGGGCATAGAAAAAGTTGTAGCAGAAGTAGTGTCACTAGTAAAAGTTGTTAAATTCATTGCTGGTGAACGTTTAAGCCTTTTAATAAATAAATTTTGAGAAATAAATAGTTTATTTAAATTACCTAGGTGATTGAGGGGGAGCATTATCCTCTACTAATTCAACATTTTCACTAGTCTCTACCAATTTTATTTCTTCAATTAAATTATTATTTAATTCTGGATGATCTTTATTTTCAATTAAAGGAGGAATTGAAGAAGGAATATTTTCTTTTTCGAAATCTTTTATTTCATTTTGTGTAGTTGATGGGGGTTGTGGGGCAGTTCGAATAGGAGTTATTATTGGTATTTGTTGTTCCGAAGATTTGGATTTTGAACTGAAAAATAAAAAATAAAAGCATTAAAATCAAAAGAATTTGTTTGGAATTATTTTTTGAAAACAAAATAAGCATTATACTTTTGATTTAACCGATAGAATTATTTTTGAATATTTCGTATAAAATAAAATCCCACCGAGAACGCCTTCTGGCACTGTCAGCTGCCATTTCAGGCGAAATTAAAGTTGGCAAAACATCAGAATGTAAAGGCTTCCTTTCTATCCTCTCTGCATGATATATTCCTTCACGATCACCTGGACCTTCTGCTTCGGCAGGACTTTCAGTAATTGTGTAAACAGGACCTGGACGGTGAGCAAAATAAATTTGATGATCAAATTGAGACGAAGAAAAATCTGCTCTGTTTGAATTTGTCTCTCGATCATCAGATTCCAAACGCTAAAAAGGCAAAAAATAAAAATTAATTTATATTTATTCTTTTAAATAAAAAATATATTTTTATAAAATAAAAAAAGATATTAATCGAGGAAATAAAAAGATAATAAATAGAGATTAGAAGTATGGATAATAATAAAAAAATAATTTTATTTATGCGAATGCTTTTCGTGTTCTTTGGAAACAAGATTTTAAAATTAATAATTATTGTGGGTATATAAAATGGATCTTCAAAAAATTATTCGTTAGTTAGCTAATCATTTCTTTTAAAATATTTAGGTAATTATTTCTTTATTAAAAGAAATTTTAGATGGCTTTATAATATTAAATTTAAAGAAATCCTTCTTATAAAATTGAAAAATAATTTTTAAAGGAATTTTTAGAATGAAATTAATAATATTTAATTTTATACTTGGAACAATATTAATATTAAAAGCATTATTAATAAATGGACAATTCCCAAGATGGGGTTTGTAAAATTAAAAAAATAAATTAAGTATATAAATTTTAAAAAACAGAAGAGAGAACTCTGGATTGTAGTAGCCGTGAAGGTGATTGTATTTTAATAGCTCCAAATGCTAAAGTAAAGAGAGATCCTAATCGTTATAAATGCCGGAGAGAGCCAATGCCCCAAACAGATTGGAATTTATTGGCGAGAAATTCAAAAAGTTAGTTTAATAAAAATTAATTAAATATTTAAATTTAAAGCTCGAATTGCTTGCCCAATTGGTTGTGAGCAAGATGCAGATCTTTCAGTAAGAGTTGAGAGAATAAAATGGGGATGGGGATAAAGTGATGGAGAATTGAATGGAGATATAAGAAAATAAAAAAGGGATAGAAATGGGGCTGGGGAGCAAAGGTGGGTCTGAAATCCGATTTCCGAAAATTTAGGCTGATTTCCGAGTTCCGACACCTTCGTCATTTCCGACTCGCCTCGGTGGGGAGATAGAAAAATAATAATATAGATGAAAAAATAATATTATTTTAAGGTAATACAGAAAAAGCCTATTGATAACAAAAATTGTCAAAAATATTACACGTTCGTAATTATTTTTATTAATTTACTTATAAATCTAGAAAGTAAAAATTATTTTAAAGTTATGGGAAATATCGTGACCAAAAGGAAGGAGAATGGTATTTATGGTTAACAGAACCTTGTGTAGCAAAGTTAGTTTTTAAAATATTTTCCAAAAAATTTTTTCTTAGATTAACAACCCATTGTCGTTTTAATGATATCCCTTATCATCAGAATACTACAACAAATAATATAGATGCGGAAAGTGCTCTAAAAATTGCAGAAAAGGAACAACGCCGCGGGAGAAAGTTGAAGAAAGTTGCTTGAACAGAGAAAAGTTAATAAAATTTAAGAGTAATTAGAAGAATAGGAAATAATTAAATTATTAAGTAAAAAATAAGAGAAGAATTTTAAATTATTTTTTAAATTAGTATTGACTAGTTTGTATATTTAGAATAATTAAAAAAATTTTCATTTATAAATCAATTTACTACTAAATTCCAAACCAACCTCCTGTCTAACAATAACCTCCTCCCCTTCATCTTCCTCCTCCTCTTGTTCCCCATCTTCTTCTCCAGAATGTAATAATTCTTCTTCATTAACAGCAACAGCTTCAACCAGAAAAGGATTTGTTCTTTGTCTATATAAAATTGTTGAAGGCGGCGGAAGAGGAGGTTTTTGTTGAATAAAAGATTTTGTTTCTGTTGTTTGTTTTGATATTAATTCTGTTGGAGAATAAACATTTGCTGGATCCTCCATAAAAAAATTATCTTCTAATTGGTTAATATTTGAAGAATCTTTTGGTAAAATCTGTAAAGACAATAAATTATTTTTAAATTATTTTTGTTCTTCCAGCCTTTAATTGTTGTGCAGGTTTTGCCCATTTAACATCAAATTCATCATCTGCAGCCTCCCCAAAAGATTGTATTTGTTGGAGAACTTCGGCAGCCAATTTTTGTTTTTCAGTTTCATTTTCTTCTTGAAATGCGGCGATTGAGGCTGGGGAAATTGTTGGGGCCTTGATGACCTGTTAAAAAGAAAAAGTTGGTTGAAAAATGGTTAAGAAAAGTAAATTACAGGGGAACTCAATTTTAGATACCCCCAAAATTAGTTTTTTTTTAATTTAAGATATAATTTAGCGGATTCCAATTAGTAAATACTTCTTGTTTAAAAATACTCATTATACATAAAGACAGATCTTCCAGTCAATAGAGGTTATCCTAAAAGTGAGGTTCGGTTACCTGATCAGGATAATCATCTTCATCTCCTTCTTCTGAACTAGAACTTCCAGGCCTTGGTTGAGAATAAACACGACTTCTTTTTACATGACTACTAACTATTTCTCCACCTCCATCCTCCCCCTCTTCTTCAGATTCTTCCTCCGTCGGTGTTTTTTCTTCAGTAACAGTAATTGTTGGAGGAGGGTGAATTTGTTGCGGTCTTTGTTGTTGGGTAAAAGAGGAAATTGATTTAGAAGAGGGATTAAAGGTGGGGGATGTAGGGGACCAAGGATCTTCCATTTCAACCTTGAAAGTGATAGGGATTTAAAAAACTTTAAGCAAAAATATATATTTATTTTCACCTCAAAATACCCACCACCACTATCACTTTTTTGGAGTCTTTTATCACCAATATCAGCCAACTGTACAGTATCTTCATCCTCTGTCATTTCTTGTCCTTCTGTTTTAGGAACAAAACTGCTAGTATAAATACTTCTAGCAATAGCTGCCATTTCCTCTTCAACCTCAGCAACTGTAGACATTGGAGATTTCTATATTGAATAATTGAGCATATCTAATTTATAATTTTTTAATATCTCCAATATAAATATGTTCTAAAATTTGTCCTCTTATTTCAGAACATCCAAAGCTTCCTAGCAGAAGCTCCAAAATATCCCATTCTCAAAGCTGACTTTTGAGGTGACTATGAGGAGAGATTCTCTAATAAATTAGAAATAATTAACCCCCAAATTACCTCTTGTTGATCAGCAAATTGTTGTTTAGACAATTCTTCTTTAAAATGAAGAATTGCTTCAGCATTTTTTGGCGCTGTCTCCCAACAACCCCTAACAGTATCCACACTAATTTCATCTTCACCAATAATTTCCACTTCATCGTTAATTTCCAGTTCACTACTTTTTTTCATTTCTTCATTAACATTATCAATAAACTCCTCTGTAAAGTCTGTAGTCCAAAGCTTCTTAGCAGAAGAATTAACAACAACATTTTCCCAAGCTTCTGGTGGAGCCTAAAAATAAATTAATTGCTTAAATATTTTAATTTATTTAATTAACAATAAATTCTTGTCGTGGAGGTTGCATCCAAAGATCTTCCTCTTCCTCTTCCTCTTTCTCATCATCTTCAATTTGACTAATTTTTGGTGGTGTCTCTGAAGAAGGCAAATCATTAATTTGTTGATGTAAAGTTGTTGGAGAGGGTAATATTGGCTGTCCATATTTTGACAAATCCTTTAAAAAATTTTGGATGATTTTTTAAAAATATTTTGGAAGAAAATTAATTAAATTTTGTTAAATTTCAATTAAAATCTCACTTCTAAAAATGAAAGGGAAGGTTGTAAAGTTGTATTAACATCAACAATCTCTTCAATTTTATTTTCCCATTCAGGTTGCCTTTTAGCTAAATCTTCCTCCTTTTCTTTCAATTTTAATATATCAATAGACTTTTGTCTTTCCTCTTCAATTCTTTCATGTTCTTCTGCAGCCCTCATTACTTCCAAAATTTTATTTTGTTCTTCAAGAGAAAGACCGCTCATATCTGGAGAGGGAAGCTTTTGCTTGTCTTCACTTCTCTTTTCTTCTTCTCTCCTTAGTTCCTCTCTCCTTTGTTCTTCTTTTCTCTCTTCTTCTCTCCTTTCTTCTTCTCTTCTCAATTCTTCCATTCTTTCTTCTTCTCTCTTCCGTTCTTCTCTTCTCTGTTCTTCCTCCCTTCTTTGTTCTTCTTCTCTTCTTTGCTGTTCCTCTCTTCTTTCCTTTACTTTCTTCTGTTCTTCTTTCACTTCAAAAATACTTCCTCTTCTTGTCATTTCTTCATCCAATTGCGCACATTGCATAACAGCAATAAGCTTTAACTGTTCTTCCTCTGACAGCAATTCGGCACCAGGCGGAAGTTCAATAGCATTATTATCTATTTGAGCAAGTGATAAAGATCGACTTGATGTTGATGGTTGTGATAAATCCTCTTCTGTAGTTAGAAAACCTAATGAAGAATGTGGTCGTTTACTAGGCGAAGAGGTGGTTGTAGAAGAAGATGTCTGCTTAGAAGTCTTAAATTAATTTTTATAAATTTTAATTATTAACAATTGGACAGAAAATAAATGTATGGAAAATCTGAAATTCTGAAATTGAAATTTTTCTGAAATTTCTGAAAAAAAATCTGAAATTCATACAAACATATAAACATAAAGGATTTTTTATTGATAAAATTAATTTTAAAAAAGCACTTACAGCCTCAGCCATAGCCTGATTAGCTTTCTCCACAGCACTCGCTGCTTTAGCACTTAACTGTTCACCCGCTGCTTGCATTGCATCCTTCAACTTTCCCGTTGTTAATTTACTGAATTTTCCCCCAAACATATTACTAAAACCGCTACTAGTTGAAGAAGTTTTTTGACCAAACATTGAGCCAAACGAGGAATTTGATGTATTAAAATTCGAGGGTGGTGGAGGTACGGGGATGGAAGGAGAAGTATTTGTAGTTGATTTTTGTGAAGAATCGAGTTTGCTTTGAGTTGTAATTAATGGGACTGAAATTTAAAAATATTTAATTAAATTATAATGAACAATTAATTGTTAACAAACAAATAATAAAATACTTGGGGACTCGGGAAAATCAGCTAGTAAAGGGCCACTGATTGGTGTTGGCACTCGGTGAATGGTGGAAATAGTCGATTGTTGTTCATCATTTTTGAGTAATTTTACATTATTTACCTCAGAATCTTTATTTTCTGTAAGGCCATAACTAAAAAATAAATTTATAATTTACAGCTAATTATTTATTTAGAAATTAATTAATAATTAAACTTCCAAAATAAAATAAAAGTTTAAACAAAAAATCTAAAAAAAAGTAAAGGCGTTAGCTAAAAGTCTGAAATTGGAAAAATGGACAATGTGCGCGTTATTCCCTTGGGGAATTACTCAATGGTTGTTTTGGGTAATGGAAAGGGGGCCCTATTTGTTTGGAAAGAAAAAAATAAAAAAAAATAAAGGGGAAAAGGAAAAGCTCCTTTGGTATTGACTATATTATACACAAAAATAATATAAATATTTTTGGCCATTTATTTTTAAATATTTACTTTAAAGTTTTTTTATAAGTAAATACTCGCCTAAAATATTTTTGGCTTTCTTCTTCTATTTTTTCTTCTTCTAAAACGTTTATTCTTTCATTAAAGTCTTTTGCTTCTACTTTTTGTTGTTTTTTCTCTAAATATTGGCTTCCAATTAGTTCCGCCAAAATTTGTTTTTGTTGCCTTTCATCCAACAAAATATTACTACCAAAATTATCGTCTTTTTCGATAATGCGTGGGAAGATTGAAGAAGCTGCCGGGTCAATGAAAGAGGGCGGAAAAGTAAATTCTGTAGTTAAATTTGGTTCTATAGGCAACTCATCTGACGTGGGAAAATACGAAATTCGAGAGGAAGTTAGGACAGAGGGCAATGGCTCTTGCTTGCTGCCAGCTTCTAACCTTTCTTGCTGGTCATATAAAGGCAAAGTTTCGATATTGGCAGCACTTTGTGTGGCCATTATATTTTCTATATTCTCTTCCATTTTGTCTAAACTTGCAGTATTTTGTAAATTGTTTTCTTCTCTCATAACGCTGTTTATGCTATCAACGGCTATATTTTTAATAAATATTTCTTCATCTTCATCTGTCCCATTCCCTTTTTCAGACTCTTCTCTTAAATATTCTTCATTTTCTTCCCCTCTAGTTTCACATTCTCGAGACAACCACTCTTGCCGGCTGTCAATAGCTGCCACTAACTCTTCTTTAGCTTCTCTTTCTCCTTCCACTAAATATTCCCTTTTTTCCGTCTCGTTACCTTCTTCTACCTCCAACCTATCTCTCCCATTATTGGCATTTTCCTCATCCATGCTTTTCAATTCCTCTCTCATTGTCCAGTCACTTGGCCCTTCCTGTAGCCCTCCTGTCTGTGTTTCCCAATAGTGTTGGGAATTCCACCGCTCTTGTCCACCTCGTATTTCGTCAAATAAAAATTTATTAAAGTCCGAAAAAGCTTTCTGCGGAGCAATTTCAGGCCAATCGATGTTGCTTTCCTGTCTGGCAGCAATTTCCACAACAAAATCATCGTTAGCACTTTCAATATCAAAAATATTTTCATTTCTATTAAATTCCTCTTTTCTTTCAAAACTTTTTTGCTCCATTAAATAACCCTCAAAATTCCTTTTTTGGTCCTCTAAATTTTGTTGCAATTGTTTTTCCTGACAAATTGACCATGAATCAACAAACAAATTTTCCTCTTTTTCTTCACTTTTTGTTGCAAAAGTACTAGCCAATTCTGTTTTTTTAATATTTGAAGTTTCAACAAAAAGAGGGTCTAAAAGGAAAGAAAAAATAAAGGAAATTTATTAGAAAATTTTAAATAAAAAATAATATTTTAAAATTATTATTAAATATTTTTGCTTCATTTACTCCCAAAACTAAATATAAATTACCTTCTTCTTCAAAAACTTTTTCTAAACATTCATCATTATTTTTATTTTGTTGTTGTTCTATATTATCATTATCATCATCAACAGACATTAAAGCAACATTCATACGTTCTAATTCATTTTTAAACCAACATATTTCATCAAGAACACGTTGAGATTCTTCCTTTTCTTCTTTATTTTCTTCTGTCTCGTTTGAATGATTAAATGAAGAAGTTAATGAATTATTTATTTGGTTTTGTTCAATGCTTTTACTTCTCCACATTATTGGTGGGGGTGGAGGTCGAGGGGGTGGATAAGAAGTTGATGATGTGCCAGAAAATTGGTTAAAACTGAAAAAAAAAGATTATTTTTTAAAATAAATATTTAATTATTTATTTATTTTTAAATTATTTTTAACAAAAAGAGAAGATTAATAAATATTTTAATATGATTAAATTGTTTAATTTGAAAAAAATCTTAAATTCCAACAATCTCTGAATAAGGGTAAAAAAGCATTTGAGAGGGTGGAGATGTAATTTAATTTTTAATTTTATCCATTAACCAATTTATTTAAAAAATAATTTAATTAAATAAAAAGAGAAGAGCAAGAGAATTTAAAGAGAATTTTAAATTAATTTAAATTAAAAATCACCGTAATATACTACTTTCCCCAACACATTCAATTCCACTTTGTTCACCTTCAGAATCACCAATTCCACTACTACTTCTACTATCAATAATATTCTGATTATTATTAGCCATTTCAAAAATTTCTTTTTCAGACTTTGTTTGATTATTTTGAAGCCAAAATTCTGGACAAAAAGGTGAAGAATTACTACTACTAGATTCTTTTTCTTTTATTATTTTTTTGTCTTCTAAAATTTCTTCTACTTCATTTATTTCTTTATTTTCTTCAACCAAAATTTCTTTTTTATTTTCTTTTAAAATTATTATTTCTTTATTTATTAATGATTTTTGATTATTTCTTTCTTTTAATTCTTCAAAATTATTTTCTAAACTTAAAGCTGCCAATTCTGTTACTCTTCGAATATGTTCTAATTCTTCTTCTGTTAATTCATGTTTTGGGGTCTCTTTTGATTTTTCTGTTAAAAGTATTTCAGTTAATGACTGATCTTCTATTTGGTTATCTTTATTTAATTCTTCATCATCAACATTACTAACTGTAAATGTATCTGATACTTTAGTTGCTAAACGTTGTGAAAATGATAAAAACCCTCCAAATCCAAATTTTGATGTTTTTAAATCTTCTTTTGTTTCTTTCTTAATTAGTTTCTTTAATAATTCTTCCTCTTCCTCCTCCTTTTTAAATTTATCTAAATAATCTTCAACTTCAATCACCTCCTCCTTCTCTTCATTTAATTCTTCATTCGAATCATTTACTTCTAATTCTTCATTCTCCCTATTCAATTCATCACCAAACAATTCTTCTACTATAAATTCATCACCCTTCATCATTTCCCCTTCATCCAACTTTTCCACTTGTTTTTCATTAAATTCTCCCATTGAAAGAGAGATTTCCATTTCTAAAGGATTTAGTTGCAAAGGTATTTGCTCCTCAACATTTATTTTTTGAATTAAATTTGTTCGTTGACGTGATTCAGCCATAACTTTAAAAATATGAGAACGCTCTTCTTCAGTTAATCCAGCCAGTGCTTCTTCTGGCAAATCAATGTTTGTGTCTTCTTCACACGTTGATGAGGAGCGGAAAAGGGCAGATTGATTTGCAATTATAGATGATTTTCTTTAAATTAATAAATTTTTGATTGGATTTAAATTAGAATTCTTAAAAGAACAATAATTAATTAATAATTACCAAAGATCGCCTAAACTTGAAATTCTTTTACCTCAACAATCCCATAAATGAAGATGTTTGTGTTGACTCTGCCCCCTTTCCATAAATTTCACTTGTATTTCTTTTGAGCCTCGGTTTATCAGAAGAAACAAAACTCTTCTTACGTCCCAAAAATGTTGAGGAAAGCATTGCAAGTGAATTAGCAAAAGTATTCCTCCTTTCCTTATTTCCATTGTTTATAGGTTCAACAAAGAATTCACTCATCATATTTTCTTTTGATTTCCTAAAATTTTAATAAAAAGGATTGAGATTTATTTTAAAAAGGCATTTTCACTCACCAATCATCATTTTCAACAGAATCTCCTATTTCTTCAATTAATTTTTCTTTTTCATTATTTTTCTCTAATAATCCTTCCTCCTCTTCCTCCTCCTCCTCTTGCTCTTCTTCACATTCTTGTAGCAAATATTCTTTAAATTGATCATCAAAATAAACTGCTCTTGGATTTTTTCTAATAAGTTCAATTTCTTTAATATCTTTTACAGCTTCTTCGGCTATTTCTTCACTCAATCGTTGAGCATAAAAATCTAATTTAATCAAAAAATCAACATTATCAAATTTCTTTTTATTTTCCATCAAAATTTGTTCACTTCCTTCTTCTTCAACATTTTCTTTCACTCTTTCTTCCTTACTCTTCTCTTCTAGATATGATTCACAAAATGATTCTCTCAATTTTTGATCAGTAAAAACAATTTTTATTTTAGAAAATTTTTTCTTTTCTTTTTTATTTTCTTCAATTTTAATTCCCCCTTTTTCTTCTTCCTTTTCCAAACTTTGATCAGAAATACTTGTTGTTTTAGAAATAAATCGGCTTCCACCCAACATATTTGTGTAGTTAACCATTGTTTTTGGTATATAAGTTAATGATGATTGACGTGCACGTTTACCTGCCAAATAAACTTCATCAACAGCTTTAGAGCCATATTGAAGCGAACAACGGCCAACTGATTTTTGTTTGGGGATTTGGTATTTTAACAGAAATTCTTGGCCTTCAAATTCTTTTGGTAAATTTTTATTTATTCCAGAAGATTGAATTTCTATAGATTCAATATGTTCATTTTTAGAAAATATTGATGAACGTAATGAATCTGCTCCAGATGTTGGAGTGCTGCTAGTTAAGGACTTTGGGGATTCTGATTTTTCTTCTTCTTTTATTTCTTCCTTTTCTAAATTTATTTTTTCGTTGTCTTCATTAAATATTCTAGAGGAATTAATTGAATCTGCCTCAGATGTTGTTGTACTACTACTACTTGTATTTGATTTATTAAACTTCTCATTCAATTTCTCATTATCATTTTCCTTTAATTTAAATTCCTCTTCCTTAAATATTTCCTTAAATTCATCAAGTTGTGGTGCCGAAACTTTTCCAAATTGTGGAGGGGAATCCATCATTGAAAGAGCTTGATTTGTTGTATAAAGTTCAGCAAATGAATGTGTTGAATCAGCCCCAGATGTTGTACTACTTGATGAAGAATCGCTAAATTGAGGCTTATCAAATAATTTAGTAGATTGTTTAATTATTTTTGTTTCAATTCCATCAATTAATTTAATTATATTTTGCTCATCAATTTCATTTAAAGTATCGTCTTTAAATCCCTCCTCTTCATTCCTTTCTTCGATCATTTTATCTTCCTTCTCCATCATTCCTCCCAATTTAATATTCTCTATTTCCTCTCCAACAAACTCATTCCTTCCATTCTCGCTTTTCTCTTCAACAAATTCTTTTTCCAAATTTCCCATCCCCTCTTCAACAATTTCTTGTCCTGTAATCTCTTCATTTTGATTAAATTCAGAAAGTTCACTTCCATCAATTACTTTATTCCAATCAAAATAATCCAAATTATTATTGTCCTCTCCTATTTGATTTATCCCATCGGAATACTCTTGAGGAAAAATGTTCAAATCCAATTGTTCATCCAATTGTTTTTCTTCTTCCTCAACTACATTTATCTTCTCTTTAATCTGAGTAAAAACTTTAGTATCTTCACATATTTTTTGGGCAGTAAAATTCTCAATTCCAATATCCTCCTCACTTTCAATTTGTTCTGGTTGTTTATTGGAAATACTTGAAATTGTCAAAACTGTATCTGCATCTAAATTAAAAAAAAAGTAAAATAAATTTCAAAAACCGAACCAGATGTTGCCAATGTATTAACTGACATTTCACGGTTAATTTCATCAAAATTAGAATTTTCATTTTCTTTATTAATTAAATATTCTTGTAAATTTCCTTCTTCATTAGCGAGTTTTTCTATAGCAGCAATATGTTCTAATTCTTCTTTAGTTAATTGCAAATTATTATTTTTATTTGTTTCTTTTTCTTCTATATTTAAATTTTCAAAAGATTCTGATTCTTCTTTTTCAGGTAAATCTCCACTAAATGGTTCTCCTTTAAGAAAAAAAACTAAATTTTTTTTATTAATTTGTGGATTTTTTGCATTTTATTTAAAACACGATTTTTGTTGATTTTACAAAATGGATAGGGTTTCTGGTATAAAATTTGGATTCAAAATAAAAATTTTATACATTTATTTTTCTACACTGTTGCCAAATTTCATGGAAATATAAAAATTTGAAAAAAATTATGTTAGAAATTGGTGTGGATGAGGTTTTTATGGAATAGACTTTATTTTAAAGTAATTCTATTACCCTCCCATTTTGATGATACAGAAACGGAAGAATCAGCCAATGATGTTCTTCCGCTGGAGGTAGAAGGAGAAGAATGTGATGAGTGTTGTTTTTCTGCTTCGGATATGTCCTGAAAAATAATATATTTAAATTTATTTTCTTAAATGAAATTGATAATAATCTTTAGTAATTATAATTTATCTACCTTTTCTTTAAAACCCTCAATTTTTTCCTCTTTAAATTCTTCAATTTTTTCTTCTTCATATTTATTTATTTTTTCCTTCCTTTCCTCATCCTCCCCTTCATTTTCTTTAATATTTTCAATAATTTCATTGCTTTTCTTCATTTTTTGTTTTTCAATAATTTTTTCCATTATATTTTTTGCCCAAAAAGGAATTTCTGGTTTTTCATCAGAATCTAAAGTTAATTGCCTTATTTTACTCCATTCCCTTTGAACAGCAATTTCTTCTTGTTTTTCATGAATTTCTTGTTGATCAACAAAAAATGATGGATAAAATATTTTTTCTTTTTGTTTTATTGCAAATAATTCATTAATTTTTAATTTCTGTAATTTTTCTTCCTCTTCTTCATTAATTTCATCATTAACATTTTCCTCATCTTTTTGATTATTCCCTTCTTCCCCTCCTTCTTCCTCTACTCTTCCATTTAAATTATTTTCTTCCTCTACAGTCTCAGAAAATTGTTTTTCAAGACTTTTGTCATCTGCTCCAGAAGTTTCACTAGAAGATGAGGTTTTATGAGACGAAGGGCTTTGTTGAGGAGGTTTTGACTCCATTTTTGAATTTATTTCCTTTCCATTCCTTCCAGTAATATTTAAATTTACATCAAAAGAGCCACTTTCTTCAGCCAAACGAAGAACATTTTGAATATGTTCTAATTCTTCAAAAGTTAAACCAACAACTGTTTGGTCTTTATTTTGATCTATTGAAGGGTCAAAAATAGTTTCTTGAAAATTTTGAGGATTTTCTTCAATTTGAAAAAATTCTTTAGAATTTTGCTTGTCTTCTTCTAAAAATTCTTGCTTATTAAATTCTTTAGCTGCCAATAATTCTATTCTTCTAATATGTTCTTTTTCTTCAATTGTTAATTCATCTAATAGTATATTTTCATCTTTTTGTTTGTTATCTTGATTTTCTAATAAATTTATTTGTTTACTTTCTTCTTCAGTTAATTTATTTAAATCTTCATTAAATTGTTGAAAAGGAAATTTTGGAAATTTTAATTCTTCCTTTTCATCAGAAATTAATTTATTAGTTTCAGTTATTAAAGTATTCTCATTGTTTTTATTAAATTGTTGATCAGACTTATTCGTACCAATTTCCATAAATTCAATTTTACCCCCTTCCATTTCAGCTAATTTATTAATTCTTTCAATATGTTCAATTTCTTCTTTAGTTAAATTACCCTCAAAATTGGTAGAAGTTAAAGGTCCGCCCTCAATTTCCTCGTTTAATTTAACTTTAATTAATTCCTTAGAAGTGGCAGATGAAATGGAATTTAAAGAAGACAAAGAATCTGCAGAGGATGTTTTGCCAGAAGATATACTAGAACTATTATTTTTGTTTTCTTCTTCCAAATTTTTTTCAGAAGAAAGTAATAAACTATTATTGTCCGCCTCTGACGTTCTTCCAGAAGAAGGGGTTGAATTTTTTTTTTCATTTATTTTAATTTCTTCTCTTTCCTCTTTTGAAGAAGAAATGGGGGACTCTTCAATTTCAGATTTCATCTCTTCATTTACAAATTCTTCATTTTTTATCAGCTTATCATCATCTAATATTTTATTATCTTCATCTACACTTTCATTTAAAGAAATGTGTGTATCTGCACTGGATGTACTGCTTGAACTTCTCGTTAATGAATTATTTCTTCCTTTCCCTTCTTCAGTTTCAATTTTATTGTCATTATGTTTATTAATTTGTTCTTCTATTCTATCCTCCTCAATATTTCCAGAAATTTCAGTTTCTATATTTGATATATTGCTTAAAACCTTTTCCTTTTCTTGCCATTCATTTTCTTCAAAAATTTCTTCAGTTTGTTGTTTTAACATTAAATTAGGTAGTGGAGGTCGTGGTGGAGGGGAAGGTGGTTGTATTACAACAGAAACAACCTGATTTATATTAAATGGAATTAAATCCTCTTCTTTTTCTTTAAAAGAATCTTCTTCTTTTTCTTCTTCTTTTAAGGATAGTATATTGTCGTCTCCTTCATTTAATTGTTCTTTTGACTTTAAATTAAGAGAAGTATCAACGCTAGAAGATGAAGAAAAAGAATTTTCCAATGCATCCCCTTCTATTTGTTTTAATTCTGTTGGAAAAATGTTTGTCGTTTCATCAATTTCGTTTTCTTTAACTAAATGCTCAACTGAAATTTTCAAAAATTACTAAAATAATTTTAATGAAATTTTTAAGTATCAGATTTAATGAACTAATATTATTCTTTATTTTAGAAAATACAGTCGACTTTATCACAATAACTCCCAGCGTTTCATTTGCCCTCATTTTCTTTTGAAAATCTAAAACGTTTAAAGGCGTATCATGCAAACAAAATTTTAGACTTATTGTTAGACTAAAATTGTGATAAAGGAAATCCGGCTTTGTAAACAATTCTTAGTTACCGTAAGTGTCCTAATAAAAGCCCTGGGCTTCTATTTTTCAATACCCCTCATTGAGTGGGCTTCTAATTGGGCATGGGCTTCTATTTGAGATGGGCTTCTTTTAGGCATTATACTTTGTCCTATGAACCAATACTTAATTATTTTAATATTTAAATTACTTTTGTTATTGTCCATACTCCACAAATCATTTTCTCCGTCTTCAATAACAAATTCTTCTACTTTAGATGTTTCAACACAATTTTCAGTTCCTTCAGCAACTAATTGACTTAACCAATCAGTTAAATCATCTTCTTTATTTGTTTGCTGTTTTTGTTCAATTTCTTTTAATTCTTGTTTCTCTTCAAATATTAATTCTTTTTCTTTTATAAATTCTCCAATTATTTCCTCTTTTTCTTCTTTTTTTAATACAAAATTACATTCACATTCTTTCTGATTTTTAAATTCAAAAATATTTTCAGAAATTAAAGAAATACAAGGTAAATTCTTTTGGTTTTGTTTAATTTCCTCTTCTAAGTCATCAACACCTTTAAATGGAAGATGCCCTTCTTCTTCTTCTTTAATTTTTTCATCTCCAATCTCTTCTTTAATTACTTTTTCGATGATATCTTGAATAGAAAGTGAAGAAACGGGTGTATCTGCGAGGGATGTACTGCTTGAACTTGTGGTTGGTGTTGAACAAGATTGTTTTTCTTCTTTTTGATTTTCCCCAATTTCGTCAAATTTTTTATCCTTTAAAGAATGCCGACTTTCTTCACTAGATAAACAACCCGATATTTCTATTGCTTTATTTTCAGCCAAAGTTTCACTCATTTCTTCTTTCAAATCATCATATTCTCCCTCATGAACCTCAACTAAAGTAATTTGTCTTTCGATATATTCTTCTTCTTCAAAAGAACTAGGTCCTTCCGTATCTGCGCCAGAAGTTTGACCAGAATTATCGCTTTCTTCATGTACTTCCCCAACTTCTGTAAGTACTGCTTGAGTATTTTCTTCATAATTCTGTTCTTCCTTATTTAAATCTTCATTTAAGATGCTTTCCTCAATTATTTCTTCTTCTTCCTCCTCTTCTGGTAAATCAATTGTAATCATTGGAATTAAGGGTCTACACTTTTCATTTTTATTATTCGTGTCATTTGTTTTAGTAGATTCATAATTATCATTGAGATTTTCACTGAAAATTTAAAAAATCCTTTTCTTACTTAGCAAAACCAATAACCTCTGTTTTTGTTTTTCTTCATCAACCAAAATTATATAACAATTATTCGCCGATAAGGAACTGCTGCTGTTATCATCTTCCGTTGAAAAATGTGGAAGGAATCTGTCACAATAATTAATTTTTCCCAAAAAATATTTCTTTTACCTTTCTTTTGTCATAAACTCTTTTATTGCAAAATAAACAATATCTGCTGCTTCATTTCTTGAAAATTTTTCAACAATTTGTGAAAATGTTATCGAGCATTGTTCTATAGCACTAACACTAATACACAAAGATAAAGTATCTAAATAAGCGGCGAGAATTGAATTTTCATTTAATGATTGTTCAACTACAAATGATGGAGATTTGGGGATTTTCTCTAAAAAAATTAATTTTCCAAAAATTTTTTTCAACTTTTTTATTACCAAAATTTTCTTCCTCCTCCACCTTCTCTTCTTCATCAACATCCAAACTTTTTAACCATTTATCAATTTTCCTACTCATTTTTGCCATTCTTTGAGCAATACTAATTCTATTTTCCATTGTCTCTTCTATTAAATTTATTTTCTAAATTTTTTTCTTTCAAATTTTTCCACTTACCTTCTCCTTTTTCTTTATTCGTTTCTGTTTCTTCTTCAGAAAACATTAATTCAGAACTTGCATAAGAACAATAGGAAGAAGGACAAGGCCCTACAGTAATCTCAACATCTTTAAATAATTTTTATAAAAAACATTTTTAATTTCAATTTGCCTTCAGGTAGGGAATCCATTTGAATTATTTCTGATGCCATTATGTCAGTTTTGTCAATTCCATCATTCTCGTTAGTACCTTCAATCTCTCTTTCCGAGTTAATAATTGAAGAAGTAAAGGCTGATTGCCCTCTCCCTCCCCGAACAGCTTTTAAATGTTTTTTGTCCATAACAAAACGAGCATGACGTCCAGAACGTTCAGCTCGTTTTAGAACCTTTTTTTTAAATTTGGGGAGTATTATAATTGAATTAATAAAAATAAATTAGTGAAGGGATTTTTATTAGCGGTTATTTCTTGACTTAGTGAATATTAAAATTTAAATTAATTATTACATCATGTATATGTTCTCTTTGTTCTTGACTTAATGAAGGCACTAAAGGAATTTTTTTAATCTGTTGTTGTTCATCATCCTTTATTGAATATTCCGAAGCAACAGAAGAAACATCTCCTTGCGATAGATTAGAAGTAGAAGCTTGGTCAAATTCAGGTTGAAGTTGTTGCTGTTGTTCTGGATCTTCTTCGCGAATAATTGAATTTCTAATGAAAATATTTTTTTAAGAAATTCATGTACTTTAATATTGAATTTAATTGTTTATTAATATTAAAATGAATAATTTTAGTACATTTTTACTTTATTTCAAATATTCTTTTTAATTTAAATTTAGAAATTATTTTAGTACATAGGTGTTATATCCCGAATTTTAATCAGTTTAGATTTTTTAGTCTCATGTTTTCTTAGTCTTTTCTGTTTTTTATTCCTTTACTTTCTATAAATTTGAATAAAGAACACGTTTACTCTTGGAAACAAACCGAAAATAAGAGAACCACGAAGACATTTAAATAAAATTCATAAAAAAATATTTCAATTATATTGCTGCAGAATTTATCGATAAAAAATATTTTTAATATAAAATTTAATTTAATTAATAATTATTTTCTTTTTCTTTTTTCTTTCATCTAATAAAAAGTAATTATTTAATTAACACAATTTTAAATAAAATTATTTAACAAAAATTTAAGAGAAAAATAAAAGAAAGTGAGAAGAATCTAAAATATTTATAACAAAAAATTGGAAGCTAAATGAATAAGAAAAACACGTCCATTTAACTAAAAAATAACGGCACAACGAGTGGCATTTTAAAGAGAAAAAGAAAATAAAAATATAAAGGAAAAGAGGGAGAAAAGTCGTTGTTGTGCCAGTCTGGCTTTTGCCAACCCAAAAATAGTTGAAAAGAAGAAAGTGGTGTGGCTGGTGGTTTTTTAAAGCTTCACATTCTTTTGTAAAAATTCTCGAGTCTTAAAAACGAGACTTTTTTTTGAATATCTCGAATCAATTGACAGCCGCAAAGTGTTCGTTTTTTTGCCCTATTTGGCTTTTATACTTGTTCGCTAACTTATAAGTAGATATTTACTGCTGTCAGTTTTTTATTCTTTTTTTATTCTGTTTGTTGTATGTACTTTTTTATTATTTCTTTTGCTTAATAAAATACATATTTGTTGAATAAATAGAAAATGTCATTTATTTGAAACCGAAAGGATATCCCTTATACGCTAACAATAAGTAAATATTAGGCATAATGGAAAGTATTAGGCATAAATGGAAAGGTATATTAATGGAAGCTAACCTAACTCATAAATGTAAAAATCTCTAAAGATAAACTCGATTGGAGGTACAAAAATCTTAACAGAAGCTGTTGATGATAAAAAACTAAAGTACTTTCATATAGTATACTAACATTGAAAAGAGAAAGAATTTCGTTTTTCTGCCACAATTTTATTGACAAAAATTGACCGCCGGCCATATTTTGGCATCTTTTTCATTTTTCTCCATTAAACCAATATCCTCTTTTTTCTAACCTTTCACTGGACCCTATTGTTTAAGTCCTAATTTTGTTTTTCAAAGGAACATAGAGATACTAAACTAAAAACTAATAAAATTTTAATTATATTATTAAACTCAAATTTAAAACAAAAATATAAAACTTTTAAGTTGAAAATTCATTATCCTCATCCATTTCGGTCATTTCATCATTTTGTATATTTCTTTTCTTTTCTTCAATTCTTTTTTCATTTTTCTTCTTTTTTACTTCCAATTTTTTCATCATTGGAGCCAATTGCTTGTATTGTTCACTGTCTTCAACAATTTCAAAATCAGGGTCATTAAATAATCCAGAAAATCGTTGGTCAGTTAATAAATAATTCGATGAATTATTCTTAAATAAAAAAATATTTTTAAAAATTAAAAAAGTTTTTAAACCATTTTTGAAGACTCTCCAGATTCTTCTACAAAACCAACATCCGATTGTAATCTACTTGCCAGCTCTCGATTTACTTTAGGCAATATAACAGAAGTTGTACGCTTCACAAATGAGACTTGACGTTCTTTTTCTAGTTTCTCTTTCAACTAAAAATTTTATTTAAAAATTTTTTCTAAACAGAAATTAGTTATTTTTAGATTAAAAAATATCAAAAAAATATTTTAATTTGTCTTAAAATTAATAAAAAAATTTAAAAAAACTCTACTTTTCGTTCCCTATATTCCTCAACAGCACTTAATTTATTTTGCCCTATCGCCTTTGTGTAAGCTTTCATCTCAATAAAATAACCATGCATATATGCTCTTGCCGCATTAGTTCCAATTAAGTGTTGCAGACCAAATTCATCCATTTGTGTTCTTGTTACAAATTTAAAATCATCGTAAACTAAAAAAAAATAAATTTTCTTAAATTTATTTTACAAAATTAAAATGTTTTATAGATACTGGCAGTAGAATATTTATATATTTTAAAATAACCACCGCGGCGGTCTATAATTTTTATTTTGTGCCAAACTTCCACACGAGTTAAACACAATTAAAGTTTAACAAGTTCTACATTCATTGGCAAAGACATACCCAACTTAACCACAGACAATCATACAAAAAGTAATTAAAAAAGAAAATATACCATTGGAATTATTGTCAATTTCCAATTCTTCCGATATTGACTCCAAATGAGAACACCATTTTGGAGCTGGACCGAGTGCAGGAATAAAATATTGTTTGATTTTTGGATCATCATTAGCGAAAAATATTATACCTAAATTAAAATTATTTGATATAATTTACAAAAATTTAAAAACCAGAATTTTGGTAATGAGCAAAATCATTGAGGTCAGAACCAGGTTCTATACTTGTAAAAGGTTGTCCATTGTGTTCATTCCATATTTTTAAAGCACGTCCATCCATACTCAAAACAACTTCTTGATTTAAGGCAAATTCTAATCGAGTTATTGGCAATCCAAAATTATGAGTTTTTGTAAGATAAGGTTGCGATGACCGGATATCATAGAGAAGAATCTTAAAATATGTATGTAAAATGTAAAAATACAAATAATTCTCACATATCCATTGCTCAAACCAACAGCCAAATGAAGTGCATCCTTGAAACAAAGACTGGAAACTTCTATTGACGACCTAAAATTAAAAAATACCTTCATTGTTTATTAAAAAAACCTGCTATCAAGATCCAATTCCATAGCTATAGCCTTATTTAACACACAATCAAGAACAGCAGCACGTGATCGATCACGATAATCCCATGCTTCGACTTTTCCATCAGTTGTCCCGCAAACAAAAAGTTGGTGTTGGTCATTAAACTGACAACATGTTAAAGACTCTGATTGACTATACAAAGGTTCATGAAAACGTCCGAGCTCCAAGTTAAGCCGAAAAATTTCGTTTCTAAAACAAAAGAATAACAAATTAAGAAATAAATTAAAAAACAAACCGACAGCCAGCAATGTATGCTTCACTTATTTCTCGGCAGAATGAAATATCTCTGCCAAAATGTGGTATCCTCAGTCGAAAATATCGTCCATAGCCCGTGTGGAATTCAACAAATCTTTCTTCTTCAAGTAAAATAAACTATTTTATAACTTTTATTTTATAAAAATAAATAAAAATACTTTTGTGTAATCATCACTCAATAACTGAAATTTAACAACATCTGCATCCAGGCCGCGTTCAAATTTAAGTGATAGTTCATTTAAATCAAAGCACTTTAAAGTTGGCTTGTAAGAGCCTAAAAAACTTTTAAAAAATTAAAAATCATAAACTAAAACCTGTCGTAAAAAGGTAGTTTCCATCGGAAGAAAAGGAAATTGTTCGACTAACTGAAGGCATCTCAAGGTTTTGTAATAATTGAACTCTTTTCCGAATGTCGACATCCTGCTTTTCTAATTTTCGACGTTTCTTTTCTGATATCCACTAAATATGCATTAAATTTATGAAATAAAGTAAAAATAATAACCTCAGGTATTAATTTTGTACTATTCAAATTAATAACTTTAATGTTATTGGAGTACGAAAGCTGCATTGCGTTGAAGATTAGAATTAGAGAATCAAAAATTTAAGCGAATAAAAATATTAAAATTATATTTTCAAATATTATTAGTTATATTTCAAATAAAATATTCAACAAGCACTTTATTATTTTAAACACTTTATTTTTTAATACTTTAAATAAATAAATAATAATTATATCAAAACCTTTTTTAAATAATTTTTAAAACAAATTTAATCACCAACGGATGGCGGTTCTTTACTAGGAACAAGTTGTTCCCGAACACTATTTGAAGCTTCAACAAAAATCCTTATTTGTTCACTCCCATCATTACTACGTCTCAAATACTCTTTAGCTGAAACATCTTCGTTTGCTTTCATTAAATTCAGGTAGAAATGATCAATTTTTACTGGTCCATTCTAAAAATTAAAAAATTTATTAAGTACTTTATTACAACTAACTTTTCGAGTTATTCGAATTTCAAAAATTTGTCAAGCATTAAAAATCCATAAAATGAAGCGAACAGATAATCAATGTTGTTTGAGCTAGTAATGTTAAAAAAATATCTTGTCTAAAGTAAAAAATAAATAAAAAAAGATAATCAGAGTATAAGAGTGCAAAACATCAGCCTGGTAAATAATATTACTTTTTAAAAACGTGGGTAACTTGTTTATCAACACGACAAAAGTTAGCTTTTCTCGTGTAATAATACTGCGGTATACACAGCGCATAGTAAACAAGAAAAACACTGTTGTGTTGCCAAGCGAAAATCTAGCCAACTTTTTTTTATTTTAGACAAGATATTTTTTTAACATTACCTGCTCAAACAACATTGATTATCTGTTCGCTTCATTTTATGGATTTTTAATGCTGGACAAATTTTTGAAATTCGAATAACTCGAAAAGTTAGTTGTAATAAAGTACTTAATAAATTTTTTAATTTTTAGAATGGACCAGTAAAAATTGATCATTTCTACCTGAATTTAATGAAAGCAAACGAAGATGTTTCAGCTAAAGAGTATTTGAGACGTAGTATTGATGGAAGTGAACAAATAAAGATTTTTATTGAAGCTTCAAATAGTGTTCGGGAACAATCGTTTTTTATAAAGAACAGCAGTCACTTGGCGATTAAATTTGTTTAAAAAGTTGTTTAAAAAAATAAAAAAAATTTTACAAAAATTTCAAAAACCAGAATCTTGGTAATGAGCAAAATCATTGAGGTCAGGTTGCCCATTGTGAGGTCAGGTTGCCCAAAGGTTGTCCATTGTGTTCATTCCATATTAGCACGTCCATCCATACTCAAAACAACTTCTTTATTTGAAGCAAATTCTAAACGAGTTATTAGCAATCCAAAATTATGAGTTTTGGTAAGATAAGGTTGTGATGACCGGATATCATAGAGAAGAATCTTAAAATATGTAAAGTTGGTTAAAATTAAATTGATAATTGAATTTTTAAAATATAAGGTAATGTTCAATTTCGTACCGCCTTTTGTCATTCCTCAATGTACTAAAAATGGTCAGACTTCCTCAGCTCACTCTATTCCCAATCAGTCAATAAAAGGGTTATCAGCCATAAGATAATTAGATAGAATTGATGAAGGAAATCTGTCCATTTTTAGTTATTTGAGTAAGGGAAGAAAGGGGAGTACGAAATTGAATATTACCAAATTCAAATAATTCTCACATATCCATTGCTCAAACCAACAGCCAAATGAAGTGCATCCTTGAAACAAAGACTGGAAACTTCAATTGACGACCCAAAATTAAAAAATGACATTCATTGTTTATTTATGTGAAAACCTGCTATCAAGATCCAATTCCATCGATTACAATAATCCCAGCTTCAGCTTTTCCAACAGTTGTCCCGCAAACAAAAAGTTGGTGCTGCTCATTAAACTGACAATATGTTAAGGACTTCGATTGTAAAAAGATGAGCCGGATAAGGACGTCAGGACTTAAATGGCCTTATTAAAAAATATTTGATAATGTGCCAATTTTCTACTGTAAACATTATGCCAAAAATTAATTTTTCAGCCATTTTTCTAACACTTTTTTCTTTGTTTGTTGTTTGGCTTAAATGTTTTCAAGATCTATTGTATCTTTCAATCTTTGAGCGATATCTTCTTTTTGTTTTGTATTTGTGATTTTAACAGTTTATCACAATTGTCCAGCTGTCACTACTTTTCAAAATTTTTTAGATTCTTAACAATGGATCACGATTTTGGAACTATAATATCAACTACAGTAAATCCTAGAGAAGATACTTCTTCGCAAGACGAGACAAATGAACAAGACAAAAACAAAATTAATGATCATAATGTTGTCAGCTCTAGCAGTGATAATAGAAAAACTATTTCTGTTTTTATAGATGACGACGAATATGATACGGGTTTGTCAAAATAAAACATTTTTAAATTACAAATTTTTTTAGATTTGAGCACATCTTTTACATCAATAAAATCACCTGTTGAGAGTGATTTTCATGAGAGTCTTGCTTCATCTTCTGTATGTCTACCTTCCTTTAAATTTAAAATTCTATAATTTTTAGGATCATAATTACATTCTTGGTGTTCAACGGCCTAAATCTACCAATTCAAATTTTCCCATTATCGAAGGACTTAATCTAGGTTATTTTAACTTATGGACTGATAAGGATTGAATCATTTATTTTTTAGACAGCATTGAGGACAGTACTTCTACATCCTTTTTGCCGAGAACTCAACAAACACTTCGCTCTCCAACTAAAAGATATGCTCCATATTCATGTGATGCTGGAGGAAATACTTTTTACACCGGAAATTCTGGTTATTATGGAAATCAAATTAAAGGTAGTTTTGAAAGTGCTTTTTAACTATACGTTTCAGAGTAGCCAACTTTTGATTTTCGACTAATAAGAATAGTTCTGACATTAGCAAGAGTTTTCTTGTTATTGATGAAAGAAAACAAAAAGTACTGCTACTCTGAAACAACAAACTCGGAATCTGTTACTCTTTAATATTTCTTTATCGGATTTCCATTACAACTAATTTTTTTCCTTTCTGTTAGTTCCTGAGCGACCTACACAGCATAAGCCTCAATTTGGTCAACAAAAACTTCAATATGCTTTGCCTAATTCTCAGAGACGTCAGCAAATCACCGAAAGGTTTAACTAGTTTTTTATAGTTACCTTACATTTTAATATCTAATTTAGTGAGCGACTCCCCCTTACATTACGTCAATCATGCTTTAGCCGCAATATTTCAACAAATGACAGTCCGCATTCTATAATGTCTTCCGATCGTGGCTCTGTTCCCCCTCAACGAAGTTTTGGAAATATTCGTCTTGATTCATCATACATGCTTGATGGGTCGCCGGCACCAATTGTGACAGCAACGCGTGGTAGACCTCCAAGTGGAAGAAACAAAACTGCTCGTGCTGTGCAGGACATGACACATCCTATTCAGGTTAATTTAAAGTTAACTTATCATTAAGGACTTGTCACTGTATGTGTTTTCTGTGCATGTTTTGTGATTCTGCGTGATTATTTTACTTCTCTATTTATCACACTAAAATATTTTAGAGCAGAAATTTGGGAATAGATTCTTCACAAAATGGCTACATTCTTCCGATCCAACAACAAGGCAAGCAAATGCCAGAACAACGTCAGCAACAACGTTTCCATATACAAAAGCGTAATGTCTCTTCACCTCTTATGGGCGGTCGTGGTGATAAACAGCAAACGCAACGTTTTGATGATCAGCAACAACAATTTGAAGACCAACAACGACATGATATTTACCTGGAAGAGGAAGAAATGCTTAATCGTGACTTTTTTGCTCAACAACATCAGAAATACTCGCAACAGCAACAGTCTTCAGATATGGAAAAAAGTGATGGGAGACGTGTGCGAAACGATACAATCAGTTAGTTTAATATTCTTTTTAGTATTAAGCAAAGGCGTACCCAGGGGGCTTTTGGACTAAAGTCCCCCTGAAATAGACCCCCTAGCTACACCCTTGGTATTAATTAAATTATTAAATTAAATATCTTATAAAATTGTTAAATTAATATGCTCTTTGAGTGGTTTTGTTTCCACTTTCCCCGATGTTATTTACAATCGTTTTAATTTATAGCTCCAAGTGATCCTGTTCAACCTGTCAATACTTCACCTAACTTGTTTGATACTTCCAAGCCGCCTGATGATCCATATTTGCCCCCTCAGCAAGTTGCACAATATCCAGGGTCGGGATTGCAACAGCAATTTCAACATCACCAGCGTCATTATCCTCATGGATTCGATGCTTCCTCAATTGATGGGACAATTAATGCTGTTGTAAGGGGGGATGCATCTGTCATGCAACAACATTTCGGTCCGCCAATCGGTGAAACGTTAGAGCGCAAATCTAATTTTCAACAACATCAATTTGAACCCCGACAGCAAATCCCAAATTTCGAAGGGCCTTTACAAATGTCTGAATCGACGAGCATGTCTTATGCGCCCAAACAACCTCAACAACAAAATGTTCAAACATTTTCCTCTAATTCATCAATGATTCAGCAGCAGCGTCCAACTTTATCACAAACAATATTTAATCATGGCCTTGATGAATTAGCTCAGGCTAGTTCTAATTTACTTGAGCAGTCGATGACTACACATAGTGATCGAATTGAAGATATTTATCAGCAAGAACCCTCATTAGTTTCTCATCCAAGACATCAAAAACAATCTCAATCGGGACAGCATCAACAGACTTTACATTTTAAAGTTGTTCAGACTAATCATCGAGATGAACCGTCATCGTTTCCCCAACATCAGAACTACATGCAACAAGTGTTTACAGTACAGCAGCGACAAAGACCGGGTTCGTATACTATATCTACATACATAATTATAGTTTTTTCCTGGAAGGATTAGATCATTCTCAAAATCGTTTCTTTATTAAAAATCATTTTTACAATTTATCCTCCTCGACTTTTTTTGCAGTCCCTTTAAAACCCGTTCAGTTTTAAATAATAAACTGTCGGCATAATGTGGGACAAATTAAATGGTCTTTCCATAGTCCTTTCAGATTTTTCTGATTTGA